CAGTAATATATAAAAGTCAGACATTCATATAAAACAGAGCTACCTAATTTCCTTTAGTAATAAAGCAGTATTAGCTTAGATATCTTTAGAACCATAAATCAACAGTAATGACACACCACATATAACTATTCACAGAACACACAAGTCAGTAGAAGAAGATCCCTGAAAGAATCCACCCTTGCTGTTTTGCGTGTCACCTCCAGTTTGGTCAGCGCCGAAGTCATGCCCTCTGGTTTCTGCGACAGAGAGCATCATCAAGACACAAACACACAGCACACAAACAGACACACACAGCGCACAAACACACAGCATACAAACACACTCCACTTTGCAACTCCCGCAAAAAACATGGCCTGAAAAGCTCCCATAACGTTACTGTCACAGCCACAGATCCATGCACTTTACATCTGTGTAGGTAAGCTCTAGGCCTAACCCTACCCCAGCCCTAATACACACACACACACACACACACACACAAACTATACATTTGTGCACGTAAGCCCTGAGCCTGACCCTAAACCTCTCCTCACAACCCAACACACACACGCACGTTGACACACACACACACATACATACACACATTATTGGAACCCTACCCAGTCTTTTGAAACACCACATAGAAGCTGAGGTCATATATCCTCCGGCAGACGTCGTAGTGATGTGCTCTGTTTTGTGAATAAACTTTATTGACAAGATGCTGACAGTAAGGAAAAATATCTGTGGTTGTTTAGAAAGCAGTTCTGAACATTGTGACATCTACTGGAACAGATTAACTTTACTCACATTGACAAATAAAAGCTAAGGTCACACGATCCAGCTTCATCTCACAGAAGGACAGGGAAGAAGTCCCTGTTAGTGTAAAATCTCTGTAATGTCTGCAATTGTGTGGACTGGGGTACCCAACTTTCAAACCACATAGAATTTAACCATGTAATAAAATCAATGTGTCTAGTTCCTGGCTCCAAAACAGTTTGCTTCTATCCCTGATTTTAACATTTATTCTGGGCGCTGTCACAGATCAGCTTTTTCAGACAGAAAAGTGAAAAAGAGAGGAACACCCTTATTCAGCCGATCAGCTGTGCCAAGAGTCATATTGTGATTCTGCAAATCCCCAGATAACGGATAACGTGTAAATATATTAAGTGTGACCTTTTCTGAATAACATTTTAAAGTGAAGTTAAGTAAAAAATACAATGAACTGGATTTTTCAGGTTTAAGGCTGAATATCTAATCAGGAAGCAGAATGAGGCTCTCATTTGGGTTGCTAGTTTGTTAGGGAAAAATTGGCAATTTTCTTTTTTGTTATTCTAAAAAAAGTAGCCCCACACATACTTAAATGAAACCAAGTACAAGAAATACTCATACATAATACTGTTTCTTGATGAACCCCAGCAGGTAGAATGCATCAGTAACCATGGCTCCATGTTGGTTTGTTACCACACGACTATTTATTTACCGTAATTGTGTAACCGCATATTTATCTTTTTAATAAATCCCAAAGAAACACTGTCACACTTCATCATGTCAAAACCAGAGATTTCTCAAAATCTAAAAACCGACCCCCTTGGAGCCTCGCCACGGGAGCTTCACGTCAGCGAGGGCTCAGACTGACGGATAAAACAAAACTGTGACTGTGCCGAGTTTGAAGTGCTTCCATCTTGGTTTGTTTTGCTGTTTATTTCTTCATTTGACCCAAAAAACTATGAAAGAATAATTTAATGCATAATTTTGAAAGAGAGTAACAAAACTGCAAAGAGTGTTATAATTTTAGGTCAACTGTAAAAGTGACGAGTGACAGGAGAAAAGGCAACAATCAGACATTGTTTTCTCCTGAGTAACATTTTGACCCACTTTTATTATTTGTATGTGTATTATTTATCTTTTTGAATCACTGAGAGGCTTTTTTACAGTGAAAATAAACAAATACATGTCTTTATTTGTTAATGATGCCGTTGTTTATGTGATGGTATTGCGCGCTGACATGCTGTTGACGTGGCAGGCCTTTCTGAAGTTTCTCTGCACGTTCATTACCACAGCTCTGTCTGCACGTGTGCGAGCGGGAGAGAAAGTACATGTCAAACCTCGCTGTTTCATCTTCAGATTAAAACCACGTCTGCCTGCTCCGCTGTGACAGCTGTGTTCATAGGCACGCACCCAGAAGGGGAACCAGGTGACGGCTATTCCAAATGTAGATTTTTATAGAGATATACACGCATTCTGACATGCTACTCTATAGATAAGCACTATATCTAGTCTCTCTGGTTCTCTCTGGTCTCTCTCACTCTCTCTCCTGTCACTCTCTCTTCTCTCTGGTCTCTCACTCTGGTCTCTCTCCTGGTCTCTCTCCTGGTCTCTCTCTCTGGTTTCTTCTCTCTGGTCTTTGGGTTCTCTCTGGTCTCTCTCTCTTGGTTTCTCTCTGGTCTCTCTCTCTGGTTCTCTCTGGTCTTTCTCTGGTTTCTCTCTGGTCTTCTCTCTGGTCTCTCTCTGGTCTCTCTCTGGTTCTGTCTGGTCTTCTCTTTCTCTCTTTGGTTTCTCTCTGTCTCTCTCTCTCTGGTTTCTCTCTGGTTTCTCTCTGGTCTTTCTCTCTGGTCTCTCTCTCTGGTCTCTCTCTCTGGTTTCTGTCTGGTCTTTCTCTCTGGTTTCTCTCTGGTCTTTCTCTCTGGTTTCTCTCTGGTCTTTCTCTCTGGTCTCTCTCTGGTCTCTCTCTGGTCTCTCTCTGGTGTCTCTCTCTCTGGTCTCTCTTTGGTCACTCTCTGGTGTCTCTCTGGTCTCTCTCTGGACTCTCTGGTCAAAAGTGAGAGAAAAGGAGTGGGAGAAGAGGAGATGAGAGGATGTTTTTGAAAGAATTTTTAGAACCAAAAAAACTACTCAGTAAAGGTCAAACTGTAAGGTTTGTTCTCATGACATTTATCTGATTTTAAATGAACTCATTATACATCACTCAAACTTGCACCAATAACTCCATGCACAAAAAGACCAGGAAAAACAATTATAACATGGTACAAAGTCAGTGACATGGGCTGTGTAAGATAAAGGATATGTTCAGAAAGCTAAAAATATTGGGGCAAGGATTTCCATCTTTCCATCTCTTTGAACAAACCAGTGTTTCCCTTATTGTGGACCAGAAGGTTATCAAGGCTGGTTGTGTCTTTGTAGTACATCAAAAAAGGACCTTGAGGCTGTCGTCTCCGGAGGATTCACAAAAACACACAGTGATCTGATGCTGTCACTGGTGGATTGGAGACAGTCATAATTCTTCATATCTCTGTGATAGTGGTGAAGCCTCATGGTCTGTGGGAGAGAGGAGATAAAGTCTGAGTGATAAAAGATGAGTGTGTATGTGCGCCTATGTGGTTGTGTGCGTTTGTGTGTGTGGATGTTTGGGTGTTAGTTGTGCTCTGGTGTGAACTCTCCTTGTCCAGTCTCCAGTGCTGTCTTACGGATGCAAGCCCTTAACTAGAGCTACAGCTTTCAAATGTTTTAGTAATCGAGTATTCTATTTTCCGCCATCATTTGCAAAATAAATTCTTCAAAAATGTTTTTTCATGTTTTTTTCCATAGTTGAGGTTTACCTATGATGAAAATTACAGGCCTCTCTCATATTTTTAAGTGGGAGAACTTGCGTAATTGGTGACTGACTAAATACTTTTTTTCCCCACTGTATGTAGCTAATTTTCATCCGTAGTCCCACAGTCGAACTCGCAAACACACACTCATTCAACCCTCACCTATTGTAAAGGTTTTTAGTGTCACTCATTTGTCGTCACTCAATATTTTTTTATGATTTAATTTAAACAGAGAGAGAGACTATAGAGAGACTAGTGAGAGCCCTGAGGAGAGACCAGAGAGAGACCAGAGAGAACCCTGAGAGAGCCCTGAGAAAGAACAGAGAGAGCCCTGAGAGAGCCCTGAGAGAGACCAGAGAGACACCCGAGAGGGCCGTGAGAGAGACCAGAGAGAGACCAGAGAGAGAACCAGAGAGAGATCAGAGAGAGACCAGAGAGAACCCTGAGAGAGCCCTGAGAAAGAACAGAGAGAGCCCTGAGAGAGCCCTAAGAGAGAGACCAGAGAGAGCCCTGAGAGAGACCCGAGAGGGCCGTGAGAGAGACCAGAGAGAGACCAGAGAGAAACCAGAGAGAAATCAGAGAGAGACCAGAGAGAACCCTGAGAGAGCCCTGAGAAAGAACAGAGAGAGCCCTGAGAAAGAACAGAGAGAGCCCTGAGAGAGACCAGAGAGAGCCCTGAGAGAGCCCTGAGAGAGACCAGAGAGAGCCCTGAGAGAGACCAGAGAGAGACCAGAGAGAGCCCTGAGAGAAACCAGAGAGAGACCAGAGATTCCTAGTTTTCACAGCATTGGTTTGATCTGTCACATCTTCAGATCTTCTTTTTAAGACAGAAAACTGAAAATGAGAGGACCAATATTTGTGGTTGTTATAGTGATTGCAATGTGCAGCATGGTATTATTAGACAGACATATAGATGGATGGAATGATTAAAAAAAAGAAAAGTATTTATATATATATATCTATTTTGTATCATGAGCATCGGGAATCATGTTTTCTTGTCCTGCACAGTTTATAGATTTTGTTTTTCATTCAGTCAGTATTAGTATCATTACTATAGAGTAGTTTCAGAGACTCTGCAGCCAATATTATCAGCACAAACAGGTCAAATGGTCCTGTTGTTTAAGCGAAATATAATCTGAAAACTATGACTGAGCGGATGCCGTTACTTCACACTAACGTTTCAGGTGTCACTTCCTGTCTTCGATATGGGGCCCTTATTATACCCTCTATTAGCTTTGTTATTGTCTTTTATTAACCAGTATGAGAAGAAACAAGCGGATCTCCAGTTTCAGAAGATAACGTCTGCTTTGAGCCTGCCTCTTTGATGTGGCACGCCCTTCTCCTTTCTGCTCTGACCTTGTTTGAATAATGAAGTTACAGTGACGTGAGGGTCTTTGAAAACGGCTCATGTGTGTTTTTTGTTGTGCCTTTCAGAGCCCCCACACCCCATTGCCCCCCCACAGCTCTTGGGAGTCGGCCCCACCTACCTCCTGATCCAACTCAACGCCAACTCCATTTTCGGAGACGGGCCTATTATCCTGAAAGAGGTGAGCGTTTAATGCATGTGTTTAGATGAATAATGCTAACACGCACAAAGACGCCCAAACACAGAGCATAGATGAGGAGATGACCGAGTGTGATATCACCATAGTGTTCTCCTTATATGGACATTTGTGCTCTATAACAGGGCAGACATGTTTCCCCGTAAATTTGATTGGTCAATCCTTATGGCTCATATCTGGATTTACAATACAACACACAGTATAAACACCAGGATCACAGAGCGCAAAAGGACATATTTCTAAACCCAAAATTGTGAGTGTGACACAAACGGTTAATGAACTAGAGGACTTTACTTTTACATGTAAGTCAGTAGGAGCCGGAGTGAGTTGAAGCAAAACTTCACCCATGAGTACTTCTCTACTGGGCTTTATTGAGCTAGCACTCCAGCCTCGTCTTTCGATACATTGTCTTTGAGAGGGATTTGACGTGACTCTCTCTGGCTCCTATTGCCTGACTTGTAAATTAAACTCAGTAACTGTTTGTGTCACACTCACCTATTTGGGCTTAAAAGTCTGTGTTTTAGCGCTCTCTCTGATCCTGGTGGATATATCTCAGGGACTATGGATGAAAATTAGCTTGTAGTTATGTCCGGTCTGAACAATACATTTACTGTGCATTGTCCCTGTCAAATAAACAAATAAATAAATCAGGGCTTTAAAAGTCTGATAAGCATTGAATTTATGAATGTGTCAATCACTAACATTTCCATCAAATAGTTTGTTTTTAGTTTCTCAGGTAGATCTGTGAAATAGGCCAAATATACAGTAGTTGTTTATTTCTTTTCTAAATGGTCTCAAAAACACTTGAAATTGAGTTGAAGAAACCTGTAGGAACCCTGTTTTATTGTGATATTGTCTTTGTAAATCCATTATGAGCCAATGGTTTCTCAGTCAGTCCACTCCTACAGTCTATGGTCTCTCACACAGGTGGAGTACCGCATGACCTCCGGCACCTGGACGGAGACCCACGCCGTCAACTCTCCCAATTATAAACTGTGGCATCTGGACCCGGACACGGAGTACGAGATCAGGGTTCTGCTGACGCGGCCCGGGGAAGGAGGCACCGGGAAAGCAGGACCTCCTCTCATCACCAGGACCAAATGTGCAGGTGTGAAATCAAAAATATTCTCTCTGGTCACGCTCGACTGGTCTCTCTCTATGGTCACTCTCTCTCTCTCTGGTCTCCCTCTTTGGTTTTTCTCTCTAGTCTTTATCTGGTCTCTCTCTCTGGTTTCTCTCTCTGGAGTTTCTCTCTTGTCTCTTTCTTTGTTATTTTCAGAAAGAAAGACCAAAGAGTGACTTCTTCTCTAGTTTTGGTCTTTTTCTGGTCTTTCTTTTTGGTCTCTCTCCAGTCTTTCTTCCTTGTCTCTCTCTGATCATTCTCTCTGTATTACTTAAACTCACTCATTGCCTTCACGATGTACTTTTACACACGCCGTTTTATTCAGGGCACATGTTTCTAGTTATGGTTCTAAGAATTCTTAAGATATTTTCATGAATGTATATAATGCTCAAATTTACCAAGGGCAACCGCATGTTAGAGCAAGTAAAACGTTTTATTCAAAAAATGTAGCCTTTCAAAGTCAAGGCTTTTCCTTTTTTCAGCATCTACTTCTAGCTTTGCCCAATAAAATACATTTTCATTTACAATTTTCCACCATGTGCTGCCTCTAAATACACTACTATAAGGCAGGCTTTGACTTTGATACTATTCCACTCTCTTGTTCATCTTGTCCGGCTGATATATTTTAGGGGGAGTCAAATGTGTCTCTGGTCGTGGAAAGTGGAGGTCTGGGAGTCGGATTGTTCAGTCATCTGCAGAAAGAGTTGATTAAAAACACTATAGCCTTCACTTCTCTCCATGCACACGTTCCTCCCGTCTCTTTCTCTCTCATGCATTCTTCTTGTTCTGCCCCCAATGTTGTCTTTTTTCCCCTCGTTTCTTTCTCTGCGGATCAATAGGCGCAGGGCAGAAACGCTGTCTGACATTTGTAGAAATAAACGAGAGAAATATAAACACGCACAGCTGGGGGGAGAGAGGGAGAGAGAGGGGGAAAGAGAGAGGGAGGGGTAAAGAGAGAGAGGGAGAGGGACGGATAGATAGTCAGGACAATTGGAGAGCAAAGGAGAAAAGACAAGCCATAGGGCTCTGCTGTGTTTGCTCCCCTCTACAATCTGCACTTGGGACCTAACAATTCAATTCACTTTTCTTGTATGGCCCTAAATCACAACAACAGTCATCTCAGAGGACTTAACAGAACCGTTGAAATCGCCAACACAGATCAGAGAATCAACAGTTAAGACACAAAAAATATAGAACACATGGTATTGGTCCATAGGGAGAGACCAATGTCCATGAATGTTGATAAATGTCCGTACATGTTGTAAAATATAAAGTGTCCTGGATCACCTTAGTCCTTCTTGTTAGACACTAACAGTCTGACAGAGCCTTCTGCATCGGCAAGGAAAAACTCTAAAACCCAGTGGGAGAAAAGTGAAAAACCTCGGGGAGATCTTCATTGAGAGAGGACGAACGGGCTTTAGATCCAGGACTTAAGCTACAGAACGAGGCCACGCAGCGGCTGTAGAACGTGGACAGGTTTGGTGCAGGGCTGAAGCAACTCCCAATCTCTCTGTTCAGTTAAAATAATTTGTTAAGCAAATGAGCAGATCCTGGCGGTTGGTGGGCATTGCTCCTGCTGCAGTCGTGTTACCATTTAAGAGCTCAGAATCTCATCCAGAAGATTTTTGCTGTTGTTGTCATGATTTTGCCCAGGAGACCACCGTAGGCATGTTTTAATAGTATGTAGTGATTTTTCCACCAGGAGGTGAAAGTATTTTTGCTGTTATTCTGAAAAGGGGGGATGTATATGAGTTTCTGCAAAAGCAATTAATGCAGGTTTTGAAAGTTGTGATATCCTCCTGTTCTGTTATAATGGGTAAGTGATATCTCGTGTGTGCGGCTGTATCTCTGTGTCTACAGACGCCACACAAACAATCTGTTCAGGGACAGAGAAAGACACACAGAGCGGGGAATGTTATTTAAATGGTAATGATTCCTTTGCCTCTTCTGTTTGCTGAGATTTGTCTCCTCCTGCCACCTGTAGATTTGAGCAGGAATATTTAGCTCAGTGTAATGATGAGAGTGAGGGTTGTGTGCACAGGGACGGGGCCTGGACACAGACCAGGGCTGTGACCACACACACCTCTGCCTCATTAAGGACTGGCAGCTAATAAGAGACCAGTGAGTTATAAACCAGAGAAACATCTACATAAGGGACCAGCGAGATACAAACCAGAGAGATATCTGAAGTACCACAGCCAATGAAAGAAGAAACTGTACAGGTGATACTTGGAAAGTCGTCCTCCTCCTCTTCCTCCTGCCTCTCTTCCTCCCCCTCCTCCTTTTCCCCATCCTTCTCCTTATCCCCATCCTCCTCCTCCTCCTCCTCCAACTCCTCCTTCACCTCCTCCTCCTTTTCCCTGTGATTTATTGCTCTTGTCTAAAGGGTGAAATATAATCAACTTGAAGTGAGATGAGAGGCCGCAGAGGAAGAATAAGCAGGTCAAGCCAACACAAGTGTTTTTTTTTATCCAAATCTGGAACATTTTGGTCCACTCAGGCAGCAGCTCTGAGAGTAGAACATGCCTGGGATTCGAACATATAGAAAAATTAGACACATGTGTGAAATTAGTAATTGGAGGTTTCTGTCAAACATGTTCGGGAAGTGGAGACTGTTTCACACATTCTCAGAAAAGTTGAATTTATTGTGTTAAATCTATTACAGTTAAATACAAGACTAGGAACAGGCTGGAAATATATACAATACAAGAATTGCAAAAACATGCAACACAATGTAATGAATGTGTTACAGCGAGAAGTACTTCCTGTACATTTCGGTTTTTGTTTTGGGTAAAGACACAAAATCTGAGTTGAATTCGTCTTGCCGATGACAGTGAGGGGATTAGCGGGAACTAATTGGACAGATTAACTGGGATTATGCCACATATCCTCTCTACCTTTCTGCCGGTGCCAGCCTGTTCTCCCTCTATCTCCCTCTTTCCCCTTCTCTCCCCTCTCTTCTTTCATGGGCAGCGTAATCCTCCCTCTGCCCTCCCCTTACACCAAACAGCTCTGCATTATAAAGCTGTGAGAGTTCTTTCATTTACATGTTCTTATATTCAATTTACTTTTGTCTCTCTCTCTTTGACTCGCCGCCGCTGGAATCGTTTTATTGGTTTATTGTTGGTGTTTTCAAAGCTGCGCCGCTAGGAAACAAAGGCTGTTTAGTTCAGAACGTGGAGCCCAGGTTTTGTGTGTCCCTGGTGAATTGAGGGGGAGCAGGGAGGGGGGGTAGGTGGGAGCAGAGGGTAGAGATGAGAAGGAGCAAAGGGAGGAGAAGAGGAGGAGCAGAGTGGGGAGAAGAGGAGCAGAGGGGGGAGCAGAGACAAGGCGGCCTCTGTTGTCCTCTGTGGACACACTCCCGTTAGAATTTTGGCCTCTGTCCAAACTAGTTACCCCTCGTTCTATTCCTGCGCCTTCTGATTCCCTTCCTCTCACTCTCTCTCTATAACTCTCTCCTTTTCCATTTCAAGGCATGTTTATTTTTTTAGCACATGCGCAAGCCAACTCAAAGTGTTTAACAAAACAAGATAGAAACCACCCCGAAAGAAAAATCATAAATAATCACAGTGCATTAAAAAGAGTGAAGATACAATCCTTCAGTCCATCCATCCGTCCATCCATCCGTCCATCCATCCGTCCATCCATCCATCAATTTTCTTTTCCTTAATCCACAAAGCACCAACCCCTCACTGATCCTGCATGTGGTGAGTCCACAAGAGGATGGCTGCTCTGTCATTGAGAGCATAGCCTTGATCTATCAGCGGGGGCTTCAGGCAAGGTGGGGTTCAGTGTCTTGTCCAAGGACACAATGACAGCAGACATCAGTGGGAGTCGGTGGTGGGATTGAACCCACGACCTTCAGTCATATATTCCCTTGTCAACTGTTCAAGATATTGATAAAGCACCATCATAATCAGTATCCCCACCATGAAAATAAATGAAAGCATACATTTTGTACTTGTATAAAGAGCCCTGTAGCTCACTGAGAGTCGGGAGAATGGACGGCTGGAGCCTGGTCACATGGTGCACCACAGAAAAGTTAATTATACATAATAGTTGTTTACATCATGATCATCATATATAATCAAAGATGTTGATGCCAGCTGCACAAGTCACAATCAACTTTACTGAGCATTTTTCACCCTCTGTTTTTCCCTACCATGAAGTCTTCAGTCTTCACTCAGCCCCTTATTGTCTACTCTCCCACTTTCACAGTAAATAGACAGAGATAAGCATCGGTGCATTATGGGTCACAGGGGGAAATGGCTTTCTCTGATGCAGGTGTGTTGGTGTGTGAGCGATTGAGGGCGGCCGTATATTTAGTTTTAATTCCGTGTTGAAAGCCATCCCAGTGTGAAGCTCCGTCAAGCATCAAGAGACCCCTGGAATCAATACAATTTATTACCAAAGGCTAAATGTGCACGCGGGGCCTAATGGGCGACTTTATGGAGGTGGGCCAGGAGGATCGATCCCAGACCAGGAGAGGAAAGAGGAGGAAGAAGGAGCAAGAAGGAGACTAGAGAGGAGGAAGAAGGAGACTAGAGAGAAGGAAGAAAAAGAGGAGAGGAGGAAGGAGGAGACTAGGGAGGGACCTTAAAATAGGGGCTTTAACTGGCATAGGTTGCTAAGCAACAAAAACATTCAAATTGAGCGGCCTCAATGACAAAGACAAAGCTCTATCTTTAGAACTACTCACATTTCAAGAGTAAAAGATAATTTCAAAATAATGACATAGAAATAAACTAACGTAGAAACTGAAACTTAATGAAGTCCACAAATGCACGTGAGCAGTAAATTAAAACCGTCACATTGACTGCTGTAGTATTAAATCATATATTAATCTGTTCTAAAGCTTTATATCTTTCTATGTAACATATTCCCGAGCGTCTCACAGCGGTGTCCCCTCCACACAAGGTTCAAACTGAAAATACTGGAGCTGGTTTTAAAAATACACCTTATATTTTCAGTTATTCTCGTCTTTGCCCTCGACAGACGGCTCTTGTTATTAGAAGTTTTATTAAGACCTGCACTTCCATACACACACACACAGACTTTCTCTCTCTCTCCACTGATTTAATCTTGATTCTGTCACAACCTGGCGCCGTCGTGCGCCGTGGCCGGGGTAATAACTGCCTTACGAGTGAGTGACACATAGATAATGGCGTGTCAGAAAAAGGGACAAGTTTGTGTCCTTGTGTTGTCTTCTCCGCTCCTGAGAGCTGAAAGCCAGGCCAGGGAAAGACACATGAAGAGAGTAAAGTGTTATTTTAATAATTATCACTTCTATAAGACAGGGGGGATCTATGTTTAGGTGATATTTGAACATTAATCCATCCATCCATCGGGGGGTTGGGTGGCCAGAGATGCCACCCAGTTCACAGAGCACCAGCCCCTCATTGATCCTCCTGCAGGTGGTGAGTCCACAGGAGCCTTGATCTTTCAGCGGGGGCTTCAGGCAAAGTGGGGTTAAGTGTCTTGCCCAAGGACACAACGACAGCAGGCATCAGTGGGAGTCGGTGGAGAAGGTCTCATGGTGGGATAGAACCCACGACCTTCAGGCTTAAAGTACCATGCTCTACCAACTGCACACACACACACACACACACACACACACACACACACACACACACACACACACACACACACACACGGTGCCAGATCCTTCTTATGTCCCTCTTGGCCCTAGTTCTATCCTGGCCAAGCTGGTTCTACAGTGTTCTAACTGACAGAGAAGCTGCTGGAAGCCATTCAGACTATGTTGTCAATAGTTATATCTAACCTGAACATGGTTAAGTTAGGTGTTCTTGTGTTTTGAATCAGACCTAGTTTTCACTTTGCAAGTCCAAATACTTGATTTGTTGTATTTTGCAGTATGGACTTGCCTTGTCCATCATGTTCATTGGTGTCTTTTGACAGCACCAAACACCCTTTCTATCTTTTTGTCCACACTCCACAGGGGACACGGCTCAAATCTATGAAGGTTGATAAATATTGAATAAAAGCTTTCTTCAGTTGGCAGCTGATCTTGATAGATGAGTTTCCACTGGAGCTAAAGGCCTGGTTGTTGTGTGCGAGGTGGTCAGACATTACATACGCAGGCCAGGGATTGAGAAGCAGGTAAGCCAACTTGACAAGTCATTCTGAGAGTAACTTTAGTGCTGGTGGATAAACTCGCAGGGAAGAGAGTTGCAATGTCTTCAGATTGAGTCTTTATTGAGTGATATTTCTCAGTTGTGTGTAGGTTGCTGGTACACTCCTTGCATTGCAAATAAAATGTCTGTGTTCTCCCATTACTTTCTTGCCCTGGCTGTGTGTTGTTCCTGGTTTAGTCTTGCTCTTGCAGTGTGCACTTCAGTGATATGCAGTCAGGGGAGGCAGGTGACGGGCCTTACCAGTCCAGTCAAGAAAAAAAGTGTAATCATACAATAAATCATTATTTGGGGTATTCTTGCTGTGTCTAACGGCTGTCCTTAAGCAATTTTAGTCATACAAATTGATTACTTTTGGAAGCTTTTGAATGCTTAAAATACAGTTCCTGGTTTAATCTTGTCCCGGCTGTGTGTAGTTCTTGGTTTAGTCTTGGTCTCTGTGTTCTGCTGATTTACTACCACCCATTTACAGAAAGCGAGTTGTCTGCATGTGTATACGTGATGAGTCTCGGGGCATATCGATCCGGTTAAATGAGCCAGTTAAGGTAATTAAAGCCCATAGCTGAAAGCAGAAGAGGTGGATTATATTGACAATAAAAGTACTCAATTCACGTAAGATTGCATCTTACAAACGACGTAATGGCATCAAGGAGAGGCTCATGACGTACTGCTGTTCTTTTGGTGCTGAATCAGCTCCGTGTGCTTTTCCTTTTTCTAAAACACTGGATTGTTCTGCTGTTGTTTGGTCATTTATTGGAGGAATCCAAAATATGCCACTGTGCAACAATTATGTACAAATGTTTAATAAGTAAAGTATTTATATATATATATTTGTTACTGTATGATGTACTGACAAATATGTAGATAGTTTTTGTGAATTTCCAGGGATTACAGAGGAAATAGAAAAAAACTGAATTTATACACTTTCAAAAAGGCTGCCCTCCACCACAATGTTAAACATTAAACTCTTTGGAATCTTGTGATGTCGCATGAACACAGCCTAAGGAAGTCACTCATTCATGTTTTTGCAGAGCCGATGCGGACCCCGAAGCGCCTGAAGATTGCTGAGACCCGGTCTCGACTGATCGCGGTGGACTGGGAGTCTCTGGGCTACAACATCACACGCTGCCACACCTTCAACGTCACCATCTGCTACCACTACACAACCGCCAGCAACCACAGCAAGGCCGACTGCCTGGACATGGACCCCAAGGGTGAGGGAGTGGACTGAGCTAGTGTGACATCACCATGGTTTAAGCCTTAATGCAGAAGAGGCCGATAGCTGGGGCCAAATTCCGTATATGGGCATTGGTTTCAAAGTTGTTAACTTTGCATTGTAACAGGGGCAGATGTGTTGCTAAGAGGGTTGAAAACGAAAAAATTAAGTTCCCCTACAAAAGAAGGCATCTGATTGGACGATGTCACAGTATACACCAGGATCACAGAGTATGCTAAAACAATTCTTTGATTAATAACAGATATTACAGTCCCTGACTGTATTACAACCAAAAAAGGATTGGGCTTATGTAAGCCCATCCTGATAGACTCTATGTTAGCATTTTCCACTTGTATACAGTCTAAATGATTGTGTTCAAAGTTGTTTTTTCTGGTTCTTTCTTCAGCCCCGAGACACATAGTTGGAAGCCTCCCTCCTTACACCAACGTGAGTCTGAAGATGATTTTGACCAATCCCGAAGGACGCAAGGAGAGCGATGAGACTATCATTCAAACGGACGAGGATGGTATGTATTTTAAAAATGGACACACGCCACATCATTCTCCTCAATAGTGTGAGTGACAGAAAATTTTTTGCCACATATAATATTAGACAGCAAAAGGAGCCGATGTAAACATGTTAAATAATCAAGCTGTGTAACACAAGGTTCTCTATTCATTCCGATCTCAGTAATATTGGAGTTAATTCCAGTACTGTCAAAGGGAAGGTCATTTTCCATATCAACAATAGTAGTAGTGTATGGTTTTATATCGATATATGCTATGTATTATTTTTTTATCAGTCATTTTTACTCAACTCCTTCACATATTATCTTGTTCTTCATTTCAATTAAAAACGTCCTCTTTTTTTAAATGCATTAATGTTTGCCCATGTTTGCCTTGGCCCCTCTTTCCACCCACAGTCCCAGGACCTGTCCCCAGCCAGTCTCTGAAGGCCACTCCCTTTGAGGACCGCATTCTTCTGATGTGGAAAGAACCAGCGGAGCCCAACGGCGTCATCATACAGTATGAGGTAGAATGCTGGATATTCCTCTGATTCTGCAAACTTTTGAATGCTGATTGCTCTGATCTCTGTTGCTCCAACCCCAGCTCACCTACAGTGGACTGCGATCCTACGACCCGTCTGTCCCCCTTCAGAGGCCGGGGATTACGGTGTCTCTGCCCTCCAACGCCTCTCATCACCTGCTCTCGCTGCTGCACCCTGGGGTCACGTACTTGCTATCCATCCGAGCGTCCACCTCCAGAGGCTTTGGGCCCGCCACCACTCTCAATGTCACCACCAACATCTCTGGTAGGAGCTCAACAGTAAACATGTGTTACCGCTCAGAATATGGAGGTGTTTTAAAATCTTGTACAATTCCAACAGCTCCGACTTTAGAGGAATACGATGGATCGGAGGCCTTTCTAAACGAAACGGCAACTACAATTACAGTGTTGCTGAAGCCCGCCCAGGCCAAAGGGGCGCCTATAAGGTAAGACATACACATTCTCTTCTCCCCAATAGGCTCTTTCTAAGGCTAAAAAGGACTTGTGATAGATGGGCAGATTTGAACTAAAAGCTATTAGCTATTATTAGGGATGTAGAGCTCTGACTGCAGATGGTGCTCCCTCTTCACCTGTCCAATACCACATACACATCCGTGACCACATCAATCACACATCTCTCTGTCTGTCAATCTCAGCTCAATCTTTCCCTCACTGAGAACAAGACCTGAGATACTTGTGAGATCCCCCCCTCCAAAAAACTGAAAACAGACCCTAAAAACAGACCCTAAAAACAAAGCTCAAAGCTCAGAACTGTTCATTATGTTCGTGTGAGTGAAACACAGATCTTAAAGTCAAAGTACCACTAGAATATTTAGGTCTCACAACACTCTGTGCTCTGTGTACTGTTTTCTGCCTCAGCTGTAATGGATTTTTTTGTACAGTGCGTACCAGATCGTGGTGGAGGAAGTGAACCCGCAGCGCTCTCGTCGTCAGGCGTCTTCTGACTGCTACGAGGTAATCTATACTCTCTATACTACCATGAGGTAGTCAGTACTCTATACTCTTCACCCATGATGCTGTTTGAGCATACAGACCAGATACAAAGTCAGAGCTGAGCAAATGATGCTCTATCATGACGCTCTATCAAATGTGGGCTTTAGAGGCATGACATGCCTCTAAAGCCCACATTTCCGCTTCCTGCTCTACTCTGCTGCCCTCTCCTTTCCTCTCCTCTACTCTACTCGGCCCATTTTAACCTACCACTAAAAATCCTTTACAGTAGTGGACAGAATGGATAGATATTGTAACATGCTTTGTGTGACCTTGTTCAGTGAAATGCGTCATATAAATACATACTTCCAATGAACATGCTTCCCCCTGATTTGAGTGCCTCTGTATCCTCAGGTGCCTGTGTCCTACCACACCTCATCCACCGGTGGATCTCCGTACTACTATGCTGCCCAGCTGGCCCCCAGTCACCTGCCCGAGCCTCTTCCCTTTACTGTGGGGGACAACAAGACGTACCAGGCAAGTTCATCAGGACCTCATCCCACAGAAGGGGTTTATAGAAGTCGGAGAAGTGTTATAAGAGGGTTAGAGACCTGGGAAATGTATGAGCTTTAAACAGTATGGTTTACATTGGAATCTTCACAATGGGATAATGTTGATGATTGTGGAATATATTTTCAAAATAAGTAAATGGTCTTTTGAATGATATTCTAATCTAAAGTCCCACCTATGTATGAGGATTGTGGCACTAAAGTACAGCAGCATGTATGTATATATTTACACATGTTTTTCCTCTAGGGTTTCTGGAATCCCCCGTTGGCTCCGAGAAAGAACTATAACATTTACCTTCAAGCTGTGAGCAGCACTGAAAGGGTAATAATACAGATACTAGTCACTCATAATACATTATTATACAATTATTAATAGCTCCCAGTGATTCACTGATCCACTTTTCTGTTGCAGGAGACTAAAACCCAGTGTCTGCGGCTCGCAACTAAAGGTGAGTAAACAAATTATCATTGGGCAATTAACATTTGACAAAGAGTGCTTTAATAATTACTCATAAAAGGAAAAACATTTTAGTGCCAGCATTTGTTATTAGCACAATCAGCATTAATGCAACTCGGTACGCTCAGTTCTCTCTCTATCTGTGAAGCTAGCTACAAACTGTCAAAGTGCAATCATGAGAGACCAGACAGAGACCAGAGAAAGAGGCCAGAGAGAAATCAGATAGAAACCAGAGAGACCAGAGAGAGAGAGACCAGTGAGAGAGAGGACCAGAGAGCAAAAAGGGAGAACAGAGAGAAAGACCAAAACAAGAGACACCAAAGAGAGACACATGAGAGAGATCAGAGAAAGAGGCCAAATATAGTAATATAATGTATATGAAAACAAGAGATAGAAGACAAATAGTTACCGGTAGTGTGAGTGTGTGTGTTGTGGTTTAAAAGTTATTATATCACCTACATAGTAGCTAATGTAGGTGATGATTTGGAAGTATATTGACAATATAATTCTCAGTATAATTTTTGTATCTTTCCTGGTTGAAATCCTGAGAAAGGGGCAGGGCTCTAAACGTCAAAACCCTTGAATCCCACCTTCAAGAGGTTGAAGTATTAGTGAATGCAGCTATTTGTGCGCGCACCAGCGGAGAATCTAAATGTCATGTTTCCGTCGGCTGCCATATGCCGCCAGATTATCAACCCGGTTTAGATGGTGTGGCTTTAATCCCGCTCGGACAGTGCTCCAGCAGCAGTACATAGACACCGAGTCAGACGAACGCAGGGACACGCTGCTTTCAGGAAAGACTTTCAGAATCGCCTATCGGGGTCAGAGGTGAGAGAGAGCATTAAACAGCAAAGTACATTAACACCAGAAACATTCCAGCAGCTGGGATCTGGGAGGGATGTTGTTGTTGTTGTCAAACTAAACAACTCGAGTAAGGCACAAAAAATAGATTAATGGATTAAAAATAATGAGCATTCGTCTAGATTGTAATAATGGTTGCCATTCAGAAAGTCAGTTCAATGTATTTGTGAAATGCTCAAATTCACAGCAGTTAGACGACTTATGCAAATTTGTGGATTTATCAAAAACAGATCAGAAACAGGGGCGACAGTAGCTCAGTTGGTAGAACGTTGAGTCTGGAGGTCGTGGGTTTGAGCCCACGACGAGAGATTCTCGATGTCGGCTGTCGTTGTGTCCTTGGCAAGACACTTTGCCTGAAGCAGCCATCCTGTGGACTCACCACCTGCAGGAGGAGCAGTGAGGGGCTGGTGCTCTGTGAAAGGGTTGCAGCTCTTAGGGGAAGAAAATGGATAGATGTTTCTAGAGATCAGAAACAGTTCAAACACAAAAGAAATACAATTATAACAAACACATGGGAGCCATTGGTGTATTGGGAGTGGAATGACCACTTCCAGAAATGTTAAGAAATGTGGATAAATGTCCCAGATCATCAATGACCCTCCTGCATCAGCAAGGAACCACTCAAAAGAAGGAGGCTGTAGATCAGCTGAATGCGACATGTATAATTTTGAGACATCTCTATAGATGAGACACTGATATTGTTCCTGCACCAATGGACAAAGTGACACGTCTCCCAGTCGCCTGAGCCTGCACCTTCCTGCAGTCTGGGACAGTCCCATGAGGTCATCCAACCCATTGTATCTTGTCACTTGTGCCCAGGGGCTGGTGGCTTTTATTATTATTGAACTGACCTGAATGCGTTTTACATGAAGGCCTTCTGTCGGCTTTATGAGGTCAAATCTAAACTGTGTTTCTCCCTGTCTTGAGTGGGTTTGGTTGTCACCACTGTGGACATTAGCAAGACAACAGTAAAGAGAAGACATTACACTTGACAAAGAACCTACACAGAGAATAGCTGCTGAATTATTAAAGCTAGAGTACCTAACTTTAAAACACACGCACACACAAAATAGACTATGTAACCATGTAATTATTTCCCAGCTTTGCCCTGTTCCTGTGGAGTTGAGCCCATATGAAAACGCCTCATGGTGAAACTTCAGTATTTTGTGTTTAGACAGAGAAACAAGAGCTTTTCCTGCCCCATACAACATTTTAGACTAATAAAGGGTTATCTCTCTTATGTGTAAAAACACAAAAGCAGGTTAGAATCATAAACATGTAGAGGGTTACACTTCATACTATTGCGCTGCTTTGAATTATTGCTGCAGTGAAGACCTTGGATATTGTTTATGCAACAAAGCGAAAGTTTTCTCATACAAAGTAGTTTCAGCTTTGAACAAAAACCAGCATTTCAGAAAAAGAGATTATTGTTGTGAGAATTCACACCTTTTTCTTCACACTGCTGTAAAACAGCCCCCGCCACACAGCATTCAGCGTTCTTTTCCACTCTGAAAGCCGCCTGAAACACCGTCTTTGTGTAAATGAAAAGCCAATCCGATACCCGACTCTAACGTTTTACTGTCGCAGCGTCCTTGTGTAAACGGCACATGAGGCTGTACAGTAGATGGAGGTCTGAGGCGGTCTCCTGATGCTATTTCAAATACTGCCGCAGATAAAGACTGATTTGTTGACATTTCGTATTAGGAAAATGGATTATTATTCAATAGATGTATTGCTCTATGTCAGGTTTTTGCATAGGTCTTGTTGGATTATAGGGATTATTATAATGCTGGCTAATGTTCTTACACAAGCGCATGAACTGCCCTCACAAAGTACAGATTAGAAATAAAAAATCTGATGTTTATTGTTTCATGCAGCCGCAACCTCAGCTCCAGTGTGCAGCCAGTCACTGTCACTGAGAACCACACGTTTGTTCAAGTCTCAGAAGTCATCAAGCTGCGAAATGAGTTTGTGTTCAAATAATATTCAACAAGACGAGAGCAGAGACGGTGGGGTCCACTGTGTGGCTGGTGGAGTGGAGCCAGGAATGAGCTAAAAAACAGAACTCGCATACAATTGAACCGTGGAAAGGGTCTTATTACAAACGTTTGTGAAGTTACAGCTCCAGGAAAAGTTACTGCTCCACTGAGAATGCCCAGTTAAATCAAAAAAGATAGACAGTTTGCCGTTGATCCAATACAAGAGATTTGCATGTGGTATCTGTCTGATGTCTACAAAATAGCCTTGGTTTACACATTAGTACTATTCTGAAGGATCTACTTGTGTCAGATTGGTGCATCCTCAAACAACAAACTATTTATTTTAACCATGAATAAAGATCTACAAAGAATTTGATACAATTTTGTGATTTAAGATATAGATCAGAGCTGAACCTTCACTGGAGATTTTTAAATCTGGTCTAAAAACACATTTAACAGATTGATCCATATACACTCACCAGACTCGGATAATGACAGAATTATTATGATTATGATTACTATGATTATTAATAATCATAATAATGATAATGATAATCAAAGAAGCTTCAAAACAGTATTCATTAAATCCAAACACAGTGGTGATAAACTACTTCGTCATCACCGTGTGTGGAATGATTGGAACAATATCTCAACTCTGAACATTGTACAGCGCTTTGGGTGACCTTGGTCTGTAAAATGCGCTATATAAATAAACATTACTTACTTACTTACTTACTTATGTAGCCACAGCCGCCTTGGGGCACACTGACAGAAGCAAGACAACCAGTCTGTGCCATCAGCTGCTCTCACCACCACCAACCATTCACAAACACACCAGACTCATTCTATGTTGGTGAACATAAAGCTCTTTTAAAGTAAATCAGTCCTGCACTCATATAAACTAAATGTAACCTGTATAGTTGTATATTGTCTTTTTGTATTCTTATTATTGTGTGACCTACCTCGGGACTACGGATGTAAATTAGCAGTTTTGCTATCTGGCACGCTTACAATTTGTATACAACTAGTATATGATTGTTCATTAATGTGTGTTGTCCTGATCAAATAAATAAGTAAATACAAATAAATAAAGTGTCTTGCCCAAGGACACTAGGCTCCCCCACCGTGGCACCTCATGTTTCCAGGGGTATCCCATCACAGTACTAACCAGACCCTGCCTTGCATAGCTTTAGAGGTGTGACAGGATCTAGCTTTCACCTGCAGGTGGCGCTGCAATAGCATCCTTGAGATCAATAGGATGATGAGGATAAAGGCACCACACATACACTGGGTTTCTTTACAGCTAAAAAGGAGCATGTGGTTGTGTCTGAAGCTGTTCATGTTTTTTCTATTCTAGATATATCAATACTAAGTTACACAGGCACATTACATGTGAGGCCTTCTCTAATGAAGGCTGTCAGAGCCGGTGCTGTAATTACATTATAAATGCATATAATCGCGTGTCGGCTCTGTCTGTGCGGCCTCTCCTCGCTCTGCTCTTAATCACATCATTAGAGTCTCTTTTAAATACCGCCTGTTCCCTTATCACCTGCACCACTTGACTGTTGTCAGGGCATTTTCTTGAGAAGCCAAAGCTGTGATATTCACCGCTGAGCCGCCTGGAGGATTGGTGAATACACGGTGCCAACATTCAGTTTTATGTATAAAACAGACTTAAAGTCAATAAGAAGTTTATGAAACCAGAGCAATGTGTTTATGACTGTGGCTCTGATTTTAAATGTGGGTCTGTACCAGGGCTGTAGACCCAGCGCTGTAGACCCAGGGTTGTAGACCTGTGCCCCTACCAACAGTTTTTGGACGTTGATGCAAAGAAGAGGTTACAAAGTCTTCACGTGCTGTTGTTATTGTTTTAGGTGCTACAGAAGAGCCAGAGGTCATCCCAGACCCTGAAAAACGGGCCGACCGTGTGGTGAAAATAGCAGGCATCAGCGCTGGCGTTCTGGTCTTCATTCTCTTAGTGCTGGTCGCCATCCTCCTGGTCAAGAAGAGGTGAGACACACGGACAAACGTCCACAGCAGAACCTGGAGTGTGCACTGACAAGCATGTTGCAGAAACCGAGCAACAAAGGATTTTAAAATTTTACTCGTTCTATTGTTGTGTGGCAGCGCTACACCATCCTCCATCCATCCACCATCAATGTTGATCTCCCTTTGGAAACAATTGGACTGTAGCTGCAAACTCAATTCCAGACTCTGTCCTTTAAAAATAAATCTGTCTACAATAACTGAAGTATATGTACAAAACATGGCTGCTGCCTCAAATTTGAAAAATCAAACAAGGAAGGCACAGTAGGCATTTGAGACGGTCTTTATACAAGCAAGGTCTGTCTGTTGTAGTTTGTTTGTTGGGTTCAGGGCTCCCCCATGTGGTGATATATTGCAATATCAAAATACATCATCCTGCATAAAGCATCTTTTGTTAAAAAATAGGCCTGTGAGTCACTATTTAAAGCTTTGATCATTTTTAGTCTCTCTCTGGTCTCTCTTTCTGGTCTCTCTGTGGTCTCTCCCTGGTCTATCTTCGAACTATCTTTCTGGTCTCTCTCTCTCTTGTCTCTCTCTTGTTTCTCTCTTGTTTCTCTCTGGTCTCTTTTTCTGGTCTCTCTGTCTTGTCTCTCTCTTGTCTCTCTCTTGTTTCTCTCTTGTTTCTCTCTGGTCTCTCTGTCTTGTCTCTCTCTTGTCTCTCTCTTGTTTCTCTCTTGTCTCTCTCTTTTTTCTCTCGGGTCTCTCTCTTGTCTCTCTCTTTTTTCTCTCGGGTCTCTCTCTTGTTTCTCTCTGGTCTCTCTCTCTTGTCTCTCTCTTGTCTCTCTCTTGTTTCTCTCTGGTCTCTCTTTCTAACCTCCCTCTCCCTCTAGTCTCTTTCTTGTCTCTCTCTTTGATCTCTGTCTGACAAAGTTGATCTATAATTATGGCTGAGGCTAAAACAAGTGATAGAAATTTGTATTTCTTTTTTTACTTTTTATGTGGTTTGAAAGTCAGGTTCTATGGAAAAAAGACAATCATGTTTTTAATGCAATACTGTATGAGTAAATATGTGCTTCTGTGAAATACAGTAGCCTGAAGAAGCATCTGAAGCTTCTGGAACTTCTCACATTTCTGCATAAAATTACGATCAAATCACACAAATGAAAAAACCTTATCTGCTGTAAATTAAAACTACCTGAAAATGTATTAAGTCCTGACTGGAAGCCCATTGAGATACTGTGGAAAGGCATTACTGCCACAGTTTTATAAAGAGGAATGGTCAAAATTACCCTGATGGATGTTCCTGACTTGCAACTTACAGGAAGGTTGGAAGGAAGTTATTTTGGCCAAAGGGCCACCTGCTGATAATGTGATAATACACTTACTTACTCCTCCCCCTTCAGTCATTAAAAATATGAAAACATATACATGAAATTCCAAAAGCTCAGATACTGTATTTCAGCAAAGACTAGTTTGAGTGTGTACAAATTCTAGAGGAACAAGTAATTACTTTTGTGTTTATTGTTGACGAAAAATGCTCTCATGTATGAAGAGAAACCACTACAACTGCTAGACAAATGGAAAAGATTTCACAGTAGTTTCTGAGGGAGATCAATCATCATTATCTCATTGATTCTTTTCCCGCTTTTGAACAATACTGCATCTTTAAAATGGTGGCGTGTGATGACGCTGTGGTCATCATGCTAGCTCTTTATTACCCTGAAAACCCTAGTGTTACCATAGTGTAGACAGAGGCTCGTAAGCATGGATAGCATATAGCAACACTCTGAGCTATATAAAAAAAAGAGCTATCAAAATACTGCATGACAGAGACTGTTATTTAGCAACAGTTCCTGACAGATGAGAGAGCCCATAGTCTGTATCAAAACCCTGTGCGTGCATGAACTTTAGGCAGTAGTGGAAAACTTCAAACTGGTTTTATTTTTGTTTCTGTTGATGCTGGCTGGAACAGAACAGCAGGTTTTGTCCTTATTTGCATATTCATGACCCTTGTGTCTCATTCTTTGCTTTCTGATTGGCTCACAACCCCAGGAGGACCTACTATTCATACTCTTATTACCTGTAAGTAAACTACTAACCAACGCGCAGCTCTTGTTACCTTATTGGGCGACTTAGTGGCTTAGTTGTTGTCTATTATTTTAATTTTTTTTAAAGATGCAGTATACTTTTTTCAAGAAAGAACACATTTCAGCTGATCAACCAGTCAAAGTCATCTTCATTGACGCCTGGCCGGGATAGAGGTCAATTCACTTTATGCTCCAAGTTTAGCTCCATCAACCTTTTTCACGCTAAGCCCCGTCCCCTCCGCCCCAGTGACGGGACCGACTTTGTCTAAGCCATGCTGCCACAAGGCCAACTTTGTCACAAAAGTATCAACAACCAAAGTGGATAGCTACCGCCATGTGGTCACAAACTGAAGCCTTGTTTCCACCGGCAATACTCCAATCTACTCTGCTCTACTCTTGCTCTACTCTAATCTACTCTTCTCTAACTGGTTTGATTCCATTATACTTTAGTATCTTGTTTCTCTTGGCTCTTGGCTTTTCTCTTGGCTCCCAGCAGCACTCTGGCAAATCGCTGTCAGTTGATCACTTTAGTACCAGCTCGCCCTAGAACCAGGGCAAAGAGGGACTAAAGAAGGACCTGGTACTGTTTAAACAGGGCTGGTGGAAACAATCTCAATCAGGGGAGAGTAGAGTAGAGTAGAGTTTAGCAGAGTAGAATCGAGTTAGGCCAAGTAGAGCTGGTGGAAACATGGCTTTTGTGCAGGAGTGTACCTGTTAAATTTGTTCCCAAAAGATAAATCCTTATATCGGTTTTGTCTAAATGCTAACGGCTATATGCTACTTCCTCCAATCTAACGGCTATAAGCAAGCGGGAGCGGCTTAACATTTCTAAACATGTCCTAAACAATCAAATGAGGAAGTAATAAAACCTAATCTGCAGCACTAATATCTGAACTAAAATAATTGGTCATTAAATCGCTCTATATGTTTCCAGCTATAGTTTTAACATAAATGTTTGGTTTGTTGCCTTTAGCGTCGTCCTAAATCTTTAGAAAAAAACTGCGACCCAAGAACCTGCTCTTGGAGAAATACTAGTAAATATCCACATGTTTGGGATCACACACTGTAGAAAGTGTTGATTCATTTGTGATAAGGTCCGATCCGGTCACAGGTGAAGCGCAGAGACCGTAGAGATGTCACAAAAGGACGGGGCGTGAAAAAGGCCAATGATCAAACAACCACAACTTCAGTTAATTCTGGTGTTCTTGTCTCTGTGTGGAAGTGAAAGGACCTCTGCCTGGTGTCTGCTACATGCTCTAAAGTTTCTCTGAAGCTAACTCCCGTGTAGCGGTTTAAACTCCAGGTGTCATTTGAAAAAAGGATGCTGCACTTGTGAACCGTAGCTCTGTGTGTGCATGTAGTCATGTGACCATCCATCGCCCATCACCTCACAGGTTTCACCGAGCTTCTCTGCTGAGGGACAAACATGGTGGTTTCTTTGGCTTCACTAGTGTTAACTACGCTCTTTTGTGTTTGTGGGAGATCCTGCTTATATTACTGTTCCATGTTTCTGACGGTGGGGTCCAACAAGAGAACTTGGACAAAGAGAATCATATTCTGGTACTAAGTTTGAGCAGCTTAAGTCTTTCCGGACCATAGACTCTATAGAGATGGACTATGCTAACCCACTAGCCCAATAGGGAAAAGTTCATGGTGAAGTTTGGCTCCAACTCGCTCTGGCAGTTATTGACCCACTGTAAAAGGAAACTGCACAATCTCAGTGACCGTTTGTCATTGAGATTGCCATTTTTGGCTTAAATCTGTGGTTTAGCACTCTCTATGATCCTGGTGTCTATATTGTTTTTGTAATATCAGCCCTAGAAGGATTGACGAATCAGATGCCTTCATTTAAGGGGGAAACTTCTGCTTGCCTTAGCAACCGTCTTAGCAACACTTCTGACCCTGGTACAGCACAAAGATAACATCGTCGCAACCAATGTCCATATAAGGAAATTGGCTCCAGGGAGCCTGTATTAAAATGGCTTCTTCCACATTGAGGCTAAGACCGCGTTGATGTCACACTCGGGCATTCCACTCCTAATATAACAAACAAACAAACATGATACAACATTAACAGAAATACACTGCGTGAAAAAAGAAATAGATGAAATTGAAGTAAAGATGTGGAGCATTGTAATGTATTAACTAATTATTACTATTAAATCATACAAAGGTGTTTCCAAGTGCTCAGGCTACAAAGAAGAAGAAGAAAGACATAAACTTACTCTGTTTTTTATTGTAAGTGTTGAAATTCAGATGTGTTTGTGTCCATATGACTGTCCCTCCGTGTGGCAGAAGCTGAAATAGTCTTTGTCTCTTTGAGCCGGACCAATTCTGCTCCAAGTCTATAATATGGGTGTTTCTGAGGGTGGAGTCAGCAGGTACAACACTGACCAAAGACAGCATCTGTGTGAATACGTGTATGTATGTGTGTGTGTGTGTGTGTGTGTGTGTGCGAGTGCGTGTGTGTGCGAGTGCGTGTGCGTGTGCGTGTGTGTGTGTCTGTGTGTGGGTGGGTGTATGATTGTCTGTATGTGTCTGCTTTTGTGCGTGCGTGTCTCTGTGGTGTGCATGAGTGGCGCAGAGCGTGTGGCTGAGTGGTTAGCACTCTCACTCCTCAGAAATAAGGGTTTGCAGCGAGTGATTCATTAGTACCTAGTGTCAGAATAAAAGTATAAATCTAGTTTTGATACATATGTATTAAAACCCTCCCGTTACTGCTTCTCATGTTTCAGTATTTTCCCTGGCTACAACTAAGGGTTCTGTCCTATAAGAGTGCTCCTGTTTCTATGGGGCGATCACACTGGTCTGGTTCATTTTAACTGGACTCAGTCTGGTCCAGTTGCTTCAACATTGATGACAGTTCTGTTCCAGTTATAAACTGACTTAAAGCCCTGTGTTACCTTACTTTTGTTGTTTCATAAACACAGGTTGCTTGTTGTCACAGAAAGTGACAAAATCAGACCTAACCATGCTATCCTCATTTTTATGATTAGAAAACATGTCCTTTTTTTGGTTATTTTTTTTCTCTGGTCTCTCTGGTTTCTCTCTGGCCTTCCTCTTACGTCTCCCTCTAGTCTCTCTCTGGTCCCTCTGTCTGGTCTCCATCTGATCTCTCGTTTTTCTCTGGTCTCTCTCTCTGGTTTCTCTCTGAAAAAAGCTGCATGTGAAAACTAGTGATAGAACCAAACAAAATAGTTATTTATCAGCCTATTTTTTGTGGTTTCAAAGTGAGGTACTTCAGCTTTACGTGACGAGTGGACAAATGTTCACTTGTTGCTGGTTTTACATCCACAAATAAAGCATTTTTTTCCATAAGTGAACCTTGGGGAAAGTGGAACAGACCAGTGTGAACGCGCCCTCAGTCTGGTACATGCTGCCATCTCCGTAATACAAGCTTCTCCTCACACTCTCCTTGCTTGGTATTTTCTCCTGGCTTGAAAACATGGCTTGCCTTACCTAAAACTCCTCCGTAAGGCATTTGTAAATGGGCTTGCAAGCATTACAAAAGATGAGTTAGTAACTGCAGTGTTAAATGTCTCCAAACAGGAAACTGGCAAAAAAACGCAAAGACGCCATCGGGACGACACGCCAGGAGATGACACACATGGTGAATGCAATGGACCGTAGCTATGGCGACCAGAGCACACTCCACGGCGACGACCCCATGGCTGTCACCTTTATGGACAGTCACAACTACAACAACAGATGTACGTCCACTTTACTTTTTAAGGAAGATGTTGTGATGAAATCCTAAAACATGATGGAATATGGATATCGCCATGCACTATTTCGGCTGAAAGCTCTATTTTTCACTTTTCTGCCTGAAAAGAAAAATCTAGATATGTGAGAGGCTGAAAATACATGATGTGAAAACTAATATATATAAATCTGGTCTGTCTTGGGTCTATCACTTTGGTCCCTCTCTAGCTGGTCTCTCTTTGGTATCTATCTTTGTTTTCTCTCTCTGTTCTCTCTATTTTCTCTCTCTGGTCTGTTGTTTCTCTGATCTCTCTCTGTTGTTAACATATTTATTTGGGGATAACAATGAAAACATCTCTTAGTAGATGCACTTGTATGTCTAAAATGTGATTATTTGTCTGTTTTCTATTGTTTTGAGACGTTCACAGGTTCTTGCGGCTCAAAACATTCATAATATTAATAATTCCAATAATAATAACAATGTGTGTATAATTTCAAAGCACACACCTCACCGTGTTTCCTCCCACAGTGCCCAACGACCCTCTCGTTCCAACAGCCGTGTTAGGTGAGCAGTCGTAGCATGGACCTTAAAAGAGCCCACTCTCCATCTCCTCACCCCTGCAGCCTCCTGCCTCATAGAGCCCACTCTCCATCTCATCCCTGCAGCCTCCTGGTTAATAGAGCCCACCCTCCATCTCCTCACCCCAGCAGCCCCCTGTTTCATTGTCCCAGTCGTTACATGGCCCAGTTTGTTCTTAATCAGTGGTGACTGTTGCACTTTAAACGTCAAACACAGTCAGAGTCTTCATTATTACATCCCACTGAGGCCCTGTTCTGGTCTTCACCTCCGACTGACAAGTGGTGTGGTCACCCTGCAGGCATCTGAGTCAAAACAGATCTACTATTTAGGCACTATTATCTATTATTTATGTTTACAAGAGGAGCATGTATACATGCCGTTAGGATTGCTTTTGTCATTCCTGCTAAAATCCAAACATTTTAGCTTTGAGTCTCAACATACTGTTCCAGCTGTTGGGAGACAGGCACTGGTTGATGCAGCCCACACTCACCTCCGCAGCCTCCTGATTGGCCAAAATGAATTTGAACCCATTAGCATTAGTCTAATTCATATTCTCTCATGTAGTATTTCTACACGAGAGAATATTTGATAGGAACAGTGCACATAGCATATAATAAGGATATTTAAAAGTTCCTTTCCTCAGAAAGTCCGACCAAGTCACTCCAAATCAATGCAGCTAGTTGTGAAAGCAGAGTAGAAATGTCACAATCTATGAATGGACATGTTGTCTTTCATTAATTTTAAATGTTGCCAGGTCCCTTGTGAAATTGCCAGATTCACATCATCCTCCATTTTCCATGTTCCCAGTCGATCATGATATTAACAGTAAAATCACAGTGGACTGGTCTTGGACTGCCACTTAGCTCTTTGTAGGTGACTAAGTGAGTAAAGAAAAGATAAAACTTTTATCTCACAATGGAGATAAACAAAGATTACAAAAGGTATAAAACCATATTATTTATTTACTTTGAATTCCACAGGTTTTATTTAAAGTAACTCATAAGTCATTTTTTGGAGATTTTTTTTTCAGAATTTCAATGGGAGCTGAGCCAAAATGTCTGCTCTGGGAGTCTTAGTTTAAGCCATCGCCTCACGCCAACAAACAACAATGTGCTAAAATAGATTATTTGGGAAAACATGGATTAGCATCATTCCGCTTTGAGACATTGGCAGCAGTCTTCTGGAGTATGCACCCCTTCTTCGGGCATCGCCCTGACTGTGGCTGTACTGCTCTCTGTAACTGACTGTGCCAACTGAGATCCCAACTTTGGGAACGTTCATCTCAGCTTCAGCCTTGTGTTGACAGCACACTCCCTGAAGGCTCCTGTAGCGCGCAGTGCCACCAAACTGTGCTAATTAGCTTTAGTGTTCTACTAATGCGGAGTGATGGCTGCGGCTCAAGTCTGCCTCAGCCAATCACATCACAGAGCTTCAGGATGCTCCAGGAAGTAGCAACAAAATCAGGGTCAGGTCAACTTCTCTTTTAATTGGTGTGGTGAAGCTAACCGTTTGTAATGAGCTAACACGTTCAAAAAGCAGTGGGTCAAGCTGATAGTGCTTAAGCTCTCTTCTTAATTGCAGTTATTATACCATATAATCGGCACGGGGGCCTCGTGCGTTGCACGTCAGCAAGATAAAGGAATCCCGGTCGGACTAGGGCCTTTCTAAGTGGAGTTTGCGTGTTCTCCCCGTGTCTATGCATTTTACCTCTGAGTGCCCCGGTTTCCCCCCGATCACTCAAAACGTCTGCTTATGATGGCGACCATTTATCCTGTCAGAAGTCCTAGTGCAGGGTTGCCCAACCTTTTCTGACCCAAAGTCGACTTTTTAATTAGCAAATCTCCAAAGGTCTACCAGTCCAGCGTCAACATCAAAACCCCAGTTACAGCCGTTACAAACAACACTTCTTCAAACAACCATAAGACATAAGATTACTAACGTTCTGTTTTTATTTTGAAATCTTTGCTCCTCACAATCTTACACAAAAACAAGCACAATATGCATTTTGAGCAATAGCTAACTAACTGGCCATATTATGAACCAAGCAGAAAAAAGAAACCAGATGATACCAGATAATAGACATGTTACGCCTGTAACTACAGTTCTATGAATCAGACATCCAAAAGCAGTGCACCACTGACTTTTCAAACATAAAACCCCTGCTCTGGTGGACAGAAGTGAATAAATAGAACTGACAAAAAGAAGATCTCTTCCTACCTTAGTGAGAGACTGACACTGGGAGTAAGTAAGTAAGTAATCTTTATTTATATAACGCCTTTCACAGACCAGAGTCTCAAAGCAGTCTCAAAGCAGTTTAAAAATCACAGAGATGGGAGCGGGGTCGCCAGTACAGGAGGCGCATGCCAGACCTATTGTACATGATTTAGTGGTAGGGGAAACCGGAGTACCTGGAGGAAACCTACGCAGACACGGGAGAAGATGCAAACTCCACTCAGAAAGGCCCTGTTCCGACCGAGATTCAAACACAGGACCCTCTTGCTGAGAAGCAAGAGTGCTATCCACTCAGCCTCCGTGCCGGGAGGAGGCTAGAGGGGAAACGAGCCAAAACTTATCATTTTCATCCTCAAAGCCTTTTTGTCTGATCTGTACACGGTAAACGTGAGCTAGGAGAGGGATTTCCCAGCAAAAAAGGCACTGCGCGCCACCAAAGTGAGGGATTTGAAAGGCCATCTTTCTTCACAAAATCCCTCTCCTAGCTCGCGTGTACCATTAAAAAATGACGCTTCAGGTTCGCTTTCTTTGCCAATGCCACCGTCGCATTGCCGATCAGACTAATAGGCTTTGAATGAGAATAACAATAAAAAAAATCTCTTCCTCCCATTCAGGATGAAAATTATTATAAGTTTTGGGTCGTTTCCCCTCAGCCATGCTAAAGTTTAGCAGCGATTCAACAGCTCTGACCCGCTCCAATCTGGCTAGCCGCAACCATCCGCTACTGTTGTCCAACAGTGGTAACTTCCCGAGATGCGTGTTTGCCTGCTGCCATAGGTTAAACCTGACCTACTTTTTATTTTTATTTTTTTCTCTTGACTTCTGTAGTATACACATAAATACACGCACACACACACACACACACACTCGCCATATTCATAATCATATTTATAAATAAATAGATATATTTATTTATATAATATTCTTATTTATGTCGCGGTCCACCTGGAATCAGTGCACGGTCTACTGGTAGACCGCGGTCGACTGGTTGCCCTTGTGGATCAGGGTATAATACAACATAACATCTGAGAAGGGTCCAGGGGTAGCATATAAAGCCCGTGGTCGGTTCTAGAGTCAGGCGTTTCTAGATTGATTTTCTCATATAGTTCCTTACAACGTTCTTGTTTGCTTTGTAAGGAATACAAAGCTAATACATGTATGTTGGATTACAACTGGATCATTGTCATTGTGTGGCCCTTGTGTGAGGTACTCTCTCCATATTCCACTTAGCGTCCATTTAATTCACTGTGATACATCACCCATTTCTCTTTCTTATAGTGTTTAATCCCTCTAACATTTATTTTCCTTTGTCTTTCTTTGCTGCTTTGACTCTAGTCCCAATAACTGGTGAGTAAATATGAATTATAGATAATAACTGTTTAACAACCTTACGGCCACCATACACATGTTCTTATTCAGTTATGGTCATTATTACAAACACAAGGAGCAATTGCTGTGAAAAACTCAGGAGAGACATTATGACCTTTGTTTCCTCACAGATGAGAACCACACAGGGTCAGCAGCGGAGAACAGCAGGCTCCTAGACGTACCGCGGTACCACTGCGAAGGCACCGAGTCCCCCTACCAGACAGGCCAGCTGCACCCTGCCATCAGGGTGGCCGACCTGCTGCAGCACATCAACCTCATGAAGACCTCCGACAGCTACGGCTTCAAGGAGGAGTACGAGGTAGGAACAGTGGTGTGGAGGTCTCCCATTGGTTCACACAGACCTCCCACAGCTATGGCCTCAAGGAGTACGAAGTAGGAACAGTGGTGTGGAGGTCTCTCATTGGGTGACACAGACAGGGACCTGCAGCAGCTACGGCTTTCAAGCTGATGTATGTAAAAAGAGAACATATTACTGACAATATGACCCTGTAGTATCATCTAAATCTCGTATAACTCCCTTGGAGTATTTTACCTATTGTACATGCTTTAGTGGAAGGGGAAACTAGAGCACCTGGAGGAGACCTACGCACCCAGGTCCTTACTGAGAAGCGAGAGCTCAAACTACTCAGCCACCATAATATTTGTTCTTTTTCTTTATTATTACAATATTAGAATCATTTTCTTTCCTGAGTCTCAGTCCTTGAGTAGAACACAAACATGGTGAAAATAGACAATGAATAATACTTGTGCAGTCATCCTGATTAAAACAGCTCATGGTTCATGTATTATGTAATTTATGTCTCACTAAAACTGTTGAATCACCAGTGCTATGCTACCGAAGTGCTCTCGTTCCACACTGTTGACCACAACAATGTAACGCTCTCACATTTGCCTTGTAATCATAATTTTGTCTTTTCTTTCTACTGTTGGTGATGCAGAGTTTCTTTGAGGGCCAGTCCGCCACTTGGGATGTGGCTAAGAAGGAGCAAAACCGCACCAAGAACCGCTATGGCAACATCATAGCCTGTGAGTGTTGCTGCCCTCCCACAAATCACTTTTAATCCATCCATCCATCTGTTTTCTTCCCCTTAATCCATTTCTGGGTCGGGGGGGTGGCCAGAGATGCCACCCAGCACACAGAGCACCAGCCCCTCACTGATCCTCCTGCAGGTGGTGAGTCTACAGAAGCTGAGATCTTTCAGTGGGAGCTTCAGGCAAAGTGGGGTTAAGTGTCTTGCCTAAGGACACAACGACAGCAGTCATCAGTGGGAGTCGTGAAGTAGGTCTTACGGTGGGCTCGAACCCACGACCTTCAGGCTCAAAGGCCAATGCTCTACCAACTGAGCTACTGTCGCCCCCATTCAGTTATGATTACGACGGTTTGGAAAAATAATTCAAAATATCAATGGCAATTGAATCAGGGGACTTTACAAAGTTGTGGATTTGCTATCAACAAATCAGAGTAATCAAATAGTTTGAACACAAGAAATACAATAATAACAAACACATACAGGACCCATTGGTCAATAGGGAGCAGAATGGCCACTATCCAGAAATTTTAGTACATGTCCCGGATCATCTCTTTCCTCAGACCCTAGAACCACTCAGAAACCCAGTGAGAAAAAGTGAGAAACCTAAGGAAGGCCCATATTGAGAGAGGCATCCACTCCCACGAATGAACAGGCTGTAGATCCCGAACCGCTCCTCAAAGGGCTGGTGTGCCTGCAGGTTTTATTTCTACCCAAGCAGGAGCACACCAGACTCCACCCATTTTCTCAAGTGAGTCCGTCTTAACCTGAAGACTTTGAGGACAAGTTTGACATCCCTAGATCCAAGATTTAGGCTGTAGATCCAGGATTGAGGCTGTAGATCCAGGACTTAGGCTGCCTAGTATACGTTGTTTTTTGTTAACCTGTTCTCTCTGTGATTCAGATGATCACTCTAGGGTCATCCTCCAGCCCATAGAAGATGACCCCTCCTCTGACTACATCAACGCCAACTACATCGATGTAAGTGGAAACGCGTCGAATGCTACTATTGGCTCCCAACGAAACCAGAGAAACCACACTCCCTCGCTCGTATGTCCGGCCTCTATACCTTTATTGCCTCACTTATAGTCATCCATCCATCCCACCCACATTACAGACATGGAATGCCCATCCATCACATCTCCAGTAGTCTGTTTAGTCTTTTTGTCATTCATCTAACGCAGTTTTCAAGTGTTCACCCATATGTTTTTCATTCATTCATCTCGACAGTTCTGTCTGTGTCTTCTAACATTCGTGAGATCAGGGATGTCCACTAAATCTACTGGCAATTCTGCAGGACATTGGTCTCATGCCTCACTCGCTCCCCAGAATATAGTTTTCACATGTACGTATGGACCTTTGGCCTCTGTCTTTATAACAGCTTATTCAGACAGAGACCTGGGAGAGAGACCAGAGAGAGACCAAAGAGTGAGAAAGAGACCAGAGAGAGACCAGAGATACAGACCAGAGACCAGGTCTCTCTCACTTCTTTAGTTCAACTTTTTCACACAGACCAGTTAAAAACAGAAGACCACCCCTGGTCAGTCAAAGAACTCTCAGCCCAAAGCATCAAATTGTGACTTATAGATCTCTTTCTTGCAAAATAATAACATGTTTTTTAAAATAAAGATAGCATGTTGTGGTCTGATCCCACATTTGACTCTTCCTGTTGGAACAATCTAAAAACTGGCATTTTGTTTTTGAAAAAATAAGTTAGGTACCCCAAGTTTAAGTGTGATTGATGTAATGTTATTTTTATATGGACAAGTCCATGCAAAACTGAAATTCTTATTCTTTGTTATGGCACTGATCTTTATGAAGTCTTTTTTTGGAAAGATAAATATTATACAATTTAATAGAAAATTACACAACTTTACTTTTTAAGTTTTTAGAGCTACAGTTTAGTATAGTCCTGTATTGAATGAAATGTAGATGATGTAAATCTACGTCATCTAGATATAGTCCTCCACATCAGTGTTTGTTCATCCCATAGTGATCTTAACACAAACCATCTGCACGTCTTTCACTCTGTGCTGTTTCATGTTTTCTGTTCCCTGCTTTTAATAACCATCACTGTGTTGCTTGCGTCAAAAAAACATTTCAAGCTAAAATAAGAGCATCTAATGTGGACACTTCCTGGTGTTTATGTTGAAATATACCTCCAAAGGGAGAGCCACAGTCTGAATATCAGGAGTGTGACATCACAAGTTAACCTTAAGCCCCGTCCCAATTCTCATACTAGCCCCTATTCTGTACCCTTACCCTAGATTTTGTACGTGCCCGTGGGGGTGTCCCAATACTGAGGGGGCAAAGGCGACTGTGCACTTGCGGGAAGGCGTGATCCCATGATGCATTACAATAGGTAGCTGTCAGGACAAAGCCGCGCCACAATAAAAGAAAACAACATGAAACCCCCGGGCGCAAGTATGTGGTGAACGTGTGGAAGTTTAGAAGCGTGTGCGAGTGATTTAGAGGTTTTGCTTGTGTTGGTGCCGTGTATGGTGACGTTTGCTCACAAAGCAGCCACACCATGTGACGTTCACTGAGGCGCTTTAGAGACATAGATGCATGTTATTATAGATCCATCATGTAGTTCAGAGAGTGCGTCGCTGTGACAGGTTGCTTTTTCATCCGCGGCTGTGTCTGTTTCGGTGTGCGTAAGCGTGTGCGTGTGTACATCTTGTGTGTACGTGTGTGTGTGTTTATGCGTGTGTTTGTCTGTGTGTGTGTGTGTGTGTACGTGTGTGTCTGTCTGTGTGTGTGTGCGTGTGTCTGTCTCTCTTTGTGTTTGTATGTGTGTGTGTGTCTGTCTGTGTGTGTGTGTGTACGTGCGTATCTGTCTCTATGTGTGTGTCTACATGTGTGTCTGTCTCTGTGTGTGCGTGTGTGTGTACATGTGTGTCTTTCTGTGTGTGTATGTGTGCATCTGTCTCTCTGTGTGTGTGTGTATGTGTGTGTCTGTTTCTGTGTGCGTACGTGTTATGAAGCAGTCCTGTTTCCTAAAGTCTATCTAAAGTGTGGTGAAATCAGACACGGCGATGTTGCGTGTGACGTGGAACACATTTGCTGCGTCGATTTGCAAACAAATGGGTGTCCCCCAGATCCTTGGGTGTCCCATTTTTAGGGAGAATAACAACGAGTGCACTCCCCTATTGGAGAGCACTTTTCTTTTGTGGGCGTTCATAGCTCATGTGCTCTCAGTGAACACATACTGGTTGCCTCACATCTGTCAGTGTGCCCAGGGCAGCTGTGGCTACAGTAGTTATTTAACAGTAGTGTTTGGAGTGAACGAATATTATCTTTCTTATTATGACAAATAACACCATGTCTACAGCAAATGACTCTATATTGGAAAAACATCAAGGAGTGTCCCAATAGTTGTTCTGATTTCATATAGCTTTATTTTTTGCATGTTCTTTTTAAATGTCTATTTCATAATACAACGTTTCCCTTTTCTGACTCTCACTGACGCTGTGCTCTTTCTCCTGCACTCGTACTTTCTGCCTGTGCTGTAGATTTGGCTGTACAGGGATGTAAGTACCATTGTTTTCACCCACACCCCTGAACGCACCACATTCCTGTGTACACCACAGTCTGTATATTAGGAGTGTGATATCACCATAGCGTTAATGCGGAAGATGCAGCTTTCAACGTAAGATAGCTGTAGCCAATTTCTTTATATTGGCTTTTGCTCTGAGGGTGTAAGCATGTAACGGTCAGCCCCTTGGAGCCCGCACTACAACATTATATACTGTAGGGATAACTGTGAAGCTTTAAAAACTGCTGACTAACAACGACAACAACATCTTAGTCCAAAACTCATTCTGGTCAGGGGCCGAACAAAAACAATAGAAACTGGTCGGGGCTGAAATAATTTATGGTATTTCCTTTTCTAATTGTTTTTTTACATTATGAAGGTATTTTGATACAACTTTTATGTGAGATGAGTTTCACTATTATTTTCTGGTGGATTTTTCTGAAAAAAAAAAGTGTTCTTGTTTATATTTAAGTACTTCACTTCTAATGACGAGAACAAATATTATGTATAACATGCCTTGGTAGCCCATAACCATCAATGTTTCATGTTATAATAATCATTGAAAATCATAAGGGGCCACTAAGAATTATCTTGGGGGGTCAGATTTGGTCCACGATCCTGAGTTTGACATGCTGGTTTAAGCTTTCGAACCTATTGACGAGACTGTGACAGTCAGTGTGATACAAATATAAATCCAAATTGTGAAAGAACAGAGAACGTAATCCAGAGTATCTTCTAAAAGTATCTGGCCAACAACCAACAGGACAGGCAGGAATTAAAACTCAAACAAAGAGAACAAATATATATATATATATATATATAAAGGGAAAATCAATTATCAAAAAGTCCACACCACGACACAAACAAGTTTGTTTCAAAGATACAAACATTAGGGCATTCAGACATATCTCCCACATCAGCACCAGCAGCTTCATTGTCAGGTTAGGGTTCTGGCAGGAGTGAATTAATTAGCGTCATATCGGTTTTGTCGCCTCCTAGAGGATATAGGGGCCAACTGTGAGTGTCAGACATGGTGAGGCTGCTCATTACAGACCCTCCTTCTCCAGAACACAAGTTCTCCACCACTGATTTTTCAGCAGCAAAACGTTAGTACTCAATAACTTGTTTTTATATCACACTAAGGTACAGTCCAAAAATCATCTCCAAAAGTTTGCCCACTCATGGCAAAAGACCAGAGAGAGAGGCCAGAGAGAGACACAAGATATACCAGAGAGAGACCAGGAAGAGAGGCCAAAGTCAGAACATAGTGTGAAGGAGCAGAAAGACTAGAGAGAGCTAAAGAATTAGTCTTCTGACTTTAAATAATGTTATGCTAGCGGTTATAGAATATTTTTTGCGTATACATCACAGCTGTAAAAACACAATTGCAAACAAACATCTGTGAAAGAGCGAGGCCATGAAAGGTGAACTGTGTTATTGGGACCACAGTATGTGCTTTTCTCTTTTGTCCTTGTGAAGGCTCTTCATGCTGTACATTCTTCATTCTTCTTCTCTTGTGCTTTCAGGGTTATCAGAGACCAAGCCACTACATCGCCACTCAAGGTAAGAGAAGAAGAAGACACCACTGTGATTATATTCAGATAATAAATTCTCACAGCACATCTCTTACACAGGTCCAGTTCATGAGACGGTTTACGACTTCTGGAGGATGACATGGCAGGAGCAGTCTGCCTGCATTGTCATGGTAACCAATCTGGTGGAGGTCGGCAGGGTATGTTTGTCATTCTGGTTGAGAAATAAAGCAATGTGATATTATTTTCATGTAATATCTGATGTCATGTGCTCTTCTGCTGTGAATAGGTGAAGTGTTACAAATACTGGCCAGACGATGCTGAGGTCTATGGGGATTTCAAAGTGACGTTTGTGGAAGTGGAGCCTCTCGCTGAATATGTCGTCCGAACATTCACTCTGGAGCGGGTACGAAAAGTTACATACTAATTAGTATAGTAATGACAAAACAGACCTAAGGTTGTTTTTAGACCAATCCACGCTAAAAGAGAGAGAAGGAGAGAAGAGAGAGAGACCAGGGAGAGACCAGAAAGAGAGACCAGAACAGAACCAGAGAGAGACAATTATAATTTGTAAATTAATGCACAATATTTCTCATTGTTTGTATTGATTCCAGCGTGGTTTTAACGAGGTGCGTGAAGTGAAGCAGTTCCACTTCACTGGCTGGCCTGATCACGGCGTTCCGTATCATGCCACAGGACTACTTTCCTTCATTCGCAGAGTGAAGATATCAAACCCCCCCTCAGCCGGGCCCATCGTCGTCCACTGCAGGTACGAGAAGACTTTTATTTCTGTATGGCTGTAGACCCAGGATTGAGGCTGTAGATCCAGGACTCAGGCTCTGGTAAATTCTATTTAAGCATATCAATATTTTAAAGATTTTATTTGGCCTTTTTTTGTTCAAAAAAGCCAAATATGATGTGTGACCCTTTATCTGGGGACACAGATACAAGATGTAGACGTAATTTAAAACATTACGTACTGTCCCAATTAAAAAACATGCTGTTTTTAGAAGCAAAACATCTATCAATCCAATTTCTTCAAAGTTGTGGAAGGAGCAAAGATGCTCAGACTTCCCTCTCCATGCACATTTCCTCCAGCTCATCTGGGACGGGACGGTTAGGAGTTGCCAGGCCAGCTGAGAGACACCCTCCAGCGTGTCCTGGGTTATCCCCTGGTCTCCTCCCAAAGGGACATGCCTTCCCTAGGGAGGCATCCAGGAGGCATCCCAAACAGATAGATGCCCTATAGCCACCTCAACTGGCTCCTTTCCACGTGGAAAAACAGCGGCTCTACTTTGAGATCTTCCTGGGTGACTGTGCACCTCCCCTATCTCTAAAGTAGCACCCAGCCACTCTAAGTGAGGGGACGGAGAGCTCTGACTGCAGACGCTGCTCCCCCTTCACACTACATTCTTCCCTCACTCATAAACAAGACACAGAGATATTTGACCTCCTCCACTTGAGGAAGGACGTTTAGAGCCAGGAACAGCGACGAGAGTTTTATTTCATACAGTAATCATGTACTGACTGCTTTCTTGCCCTCAGCGCTGGGGCCGGGCGGACAGGCTGCTTCATTGTCATCGACATCATGCTGGACATGGCGGAGCGTGAAGGAGTAGTGGACATCTACAACTGTGTCAAAGCCCTGCGCTCTCGGAGGATCAACATGGTACAGACTGAGGTGACTGCATTACCCATCCCCATCCTCCATCACATTCAGACTCCTGCTGTCGCACAGGAGGCGCACAGGACCAGGTCGCTCATGGCGTGGTGGTGATGTCAGCAGAGAGATGTGCAAACCGGCTGGGTGCAGTTTGTGTGTTTAGGCATCAGGGGGCAGTATTGTCCTGAAGAGAAACCACAAGGCAATCCAACCAACCCAAAACAACACACAAAGCATGTTTTTGTGGTAGTTTGAAACTCTTAAACACATGAAATATATTCATTTAATTATGTGATTTAAGGATGACAAAATTTTGCGTGAAAAGAGAGTGACCAGAGAGAGAGCCAAGTCACTAATATTACCTGTTCTATGATCATGCTGGGGTAGAGCACATGGCTCCCCATTGAGCCACAGCTCCATTCCTTTTTCTGCATCCAGATAGTGATCACTGGGTCTTTGTGTTTGAATCCTCACATAACTTTTAGAGCTATTTTGCAGATAAACAAAGAACCAAACGCTGTTGATCACTTTACTTTCTGGTGGAAGTAATTAAATAAAACATGCAGTTGGAGGAGCTTTTTTTGGTTTAGTTGTATGTTTAAAATGTAAGTGTTTAAGTTTTATTAAACTGAGGTACCAAACTTGGAGTCTTGTAAAAGTAAAATGTGAACAAATCAGACAACTTCATCGAGCTAGAGAACATGGCCATTTTTACATATTGTGAGGCTGAAATCTGACTCAGGTTGGTCTTCTCTTCTTCACTTGTCTGATAAAGACTGTTTTGAGTTCCATGGATTTTATCAGCTTTAATCTAAAAGTGTGTGGGTGTTTGGGGTTGTCTGGTGCTCGTCATGACTTCATCTCACCTCACATTCACTCACGGTGTTTGCATGTGTCTAACCACGCCCACTCAGCTCTGCTCTCACACATGACTCCCCTCTGAAGACGTTCGCTCTGATACAACAGCCTGTGTCGTGTGTGTTCAGGAGCAGTACATATTCATCCATGACGCCATCCTGGAGGCCTGTCTGTGCGGGGAGACGGCCATACCTGTGTGTGAGTTCAAAGCCGCGTTTTACGAACTCATCCGCATTGACTCCCAAACCAACTCCTCACACCTGAAGGATGAGTTCCAGGTGAGTGTCTCCTCAGACTGTTCATACACAAGGGACCAGGGACATTCTGAATGACCGTAGCCTCCCTATATGCAGAATTAGTGTTGTAGTAGTAGAAGTAATAAATAAATATAAAATAAAAATGGTGAGTGTGACAAAAACGGTTACTGGGCTGGAGAGCTTACTTTTACATGTTAGTCAATTGGAGCCAGAGCGGGATGAGGCAAACTTCATGAGCACTTCCCTATTTGCTCTAATGAGCTGTGTTATGGGTCCAAAGAGTTTGTTCAAAAAAGTTGAGAGGGCGGTTCATTCCTAAAATTTGGGAAAATCCTCCTATATACTTTTAAGCTCTTTTGATTCTATGAACAGTGAATAGAATGGTGCCCATAGTGGACATTGAACACAATCTAGTGTCCTTTTCCTGCATGTGAGTTAATACTGTGAGTGAGAATGAATGAGAGATCATCCTAAAACGTTTCTCCTCCAGACCTTAAACTCAGTGACGCCGCAGCCACAGCCTGAAGACTGCAGCATCGCTTTGTTGCCTAGAAACCAAGACAAGAACCGGTTCATGGACGGCCTCCCCCCAGACCGGTGCCTGCCCTTCCTGATCACCATAGACGGAGAGAGCAGCAACTACATCAACGCCGCTCTGATGGATGTAAGTCATACCTAGCTTACGGAGGGCCAAAAGTCAATACACTCAGAGAATATGGAGTGGAGAGACTAGATGGGGACAGACAGTACCTTAAGCATGTTTTTATTACAACATGACAAATGCAGAAGAGATAGAAGTCACAAACAACATGCACTCACACTCCACATGGACTCCCCTCCCTGTTTGTGTGATGCTGTGTTTGTGGTTCAAGCAGAAGGCTAGAGACAAATCCAGGTTCTGAAAAGACCACTAGCTTCTCTGGCCACCGATGTTGTATTTTTGTTTTTTACGCTGGCAACATGACACGTGTTGTCCGTGTGTCAATGACTCACAAAGTGGCTACAGAAATGACTGAAAAGGTAAGGCGTGTGTAAAGCAGTATGTGTAGGTGAAACAAGTCAAAAGGCCCTGCCCAGAGACGAGAGCGGCAAATAGTTTTGAAATTGTGTTACATACAGACAGATCCAGCTGTAAACATTGTCCACAAGAATGAGAGTCCATTTCTTCTGAGAGCGGTGTACGTGTTAGGCCTGAGGGGAGATGCGACAGACAAAGATCAGACAAAGACACACAAAGTCACACAGCTTCAAAAATGAGGAGAAACATTATGGACTTTTTCTCCAAACAATGATCTGAACAATAGCACAGGACACAAACTGATGAAGAGAGTGGTTTTTAAGTCCTTCACTCTAGCACCAGGTTTCGAAAAGCGTAGTATACAGTCTGTGGATCCCAAACCCTAAGGGTTAAAATACGCACAGGGAGATACAAGTAAAACACATTAGGGCGAGACAGGCAACCAACTGAACAAACACGAATGAATACTGAAAAGAACCAATATATCAACATTCAATTAGCTAAAAGTAATCAAAAAATCCACACCATGACAAAAAGACTGCTGATTTGGATGAGACGCCTCTGTCTGGATGGTGCCTAAGGGGTGAGGTGTAGATTTGTATCATGGTTTCCTGAACTCACGTAATGCATGTTGTAAACTTCATTTATAATCAACAAAAAGATAGGAAGTGTAATGCGTCGCTCCCATTCGAGGAGTACCTTTTTTAAGACTTAGTGAAACTTACTTTTGGCCTCTCTCTAAACCAGCTGTCAGAAGAGTTCCAGGTAATCCTCTTCAAACTTCCAATACTGGATTTGTTTCATGGCTTCAGTGTTTTATGCACCCAGGTTCATTTGTGGACATGTCATCAATCCTCCCACCACAGACCGGTCTCCCTCCCATCCGCCTGTTCTCACTCATGTCACCCCCAGCTTTTGTTCAGTCTGTGGTCAAAAACAGATGACTTTCTGTTCTGTTCTCACTCACTCTGCCCTGAAAATGAAGCAGCCCATGCACATCCTGATCGCTGTGTAGAGCTTTACAGGAATGATAGTCATGTTATTCTGGCCCTTTGAAGACATCTTTTTAGGCCAGTCTTCAAAGGGCCAGTGGCTGTAGGTTTTCATTCCAACCGAGCAGGAAAACACCAGACCGTGCCCATTTTCTCCAATCTCCAGGTTAAGACACACTTGAGGAAATGGAATGAAAACCTGCAGCCACGCTCTCTGATCTCTCTCTCTGGTTCCTCTCTCACTCTCAAGTCTGTCTCTCGGGTCCCTGTCTCTCTGGTCTCTTTCCCTCTCTATTTCTATCTCTCTTGTCTCTCTCTGGTCTCTTTCCTTCTCTATTTCTATCTCTCTTGTCTCTCTCTGGTCTCTCTCTCGGGTCTTTCTCTCTGGTCTATTTCTATCTCTCTTGTCTCTTGCTGGTATCTCTTTCAGGTCTCCCTCTCTGGTCTCTTTCCCTCTAAATTCTATCTCTCTTGTCTCCCTCTGGTCTCTCTCTCTCTCCCTCTCTGGTCTTTTTACCTGGAGACCTGAGGAAGTGGGTGGAGTCTGGTATGATCCTGCTTGGTTTACGTGCAAACCTGCCATCACACTGGCCCTTTCTGAAACCAGTTTGACACCCCTGACCTTTAAGATACATATATAGTTTAGCTTTTTGAATACCACACTGTTTTCAGAAGCTTTGGCCCAGAGTTCGAAAATAGAATACTGGTCAAAACTGCTTGTATCTAGATCACCCTGTGAATAAATTCCAAGCTAAACAAACGTGTACTTTTTTGGAGTCAATGTGTTAATGTGCAGCTCTACACATGCTCATAATCAGTGTCTGTTTGTCATGGTCCCTGCATGTCCCTGCTCACCCTCTCCACCCTGTCTTTGTCCCCCCTGTCCATGTCCACCCTGTGTGTGAGAACAGGAAGTAACAAGAACAGATTTGGACCTAAATCACGTGTTACTTCCAGAACAGAACAATGTCAATTCTTCTTTTCTATTCTGCAGAGCTACAGACAACCTGCAGCATTCATTGTTACCCAGCATCCTTTGCCAAATACTGTCAAAGATTTCTGGCGTCTGGTGTACGACTACGGCTGTACGAGTCTTGTGATGCTGAACGAGATCGACTTAGCACAGGTACCAATGATCCACAGCCCTTCTTTTTACTGAAAGAGTTTTAGAAGTTTCAAGAAACGGTTTATTCACAATTATATTAGGGCCTTCACAAACATGTAGCTCCTCCCCTTTCTGTCTAATTTCTTCTGTCTCTCTCTGGTCTCAGGAGCCAGGAGAGAGACCAGAGAGAGACGGAAGAATTTAGAGAAGCTCCAGTTTCAGTCCTGTAATAGTATGCCATTGTACCACTATGACATCACACACAGAGCAATGTTCTAGACAGAAAGCATTATTTACAGTTTATACCTGTCTCACAATATATGTTTTACTTTTAATGGACAAACATTATTCATTTCTTTTTAAAATAATGCAGGGATGCCCGCAATACTGGCCAGAGGAGGGCATGCTACGGTACGGCCCGGTCCAGGTCGAGTGCATGTCCTGCTCCATGGACTGTGATGTCATCAGTCGGCTCTTCAGAGTGTGCAACCTCACCAGGGTGAGTACTCGTGCTTCATAACTCTATAGCTACAGTACTATATAGTATACTATATAGTAGCTATAGTGAACGGCAGGAGGCTGACAGTGTTGTGTCTGTGTTCTCAGCCTCAGGAGGGCTATCTCATGGTCCGTCAGTTTCAGTACCTCGGCTGGGCGGGGCATAGAGAAGTCCCTGCCTCTAAGCGCTCTTTCCTCAAGCTGATTCTGCAAGTGGATCAGTGGCAGCGCGAGGGAGAGGAGGGGGAGGGGAGGACCATCGTGCACTGTCTGTAAGTTACAATTTCCTGGTGTCAATTATCACTAACAAATAAAACTTTGACTTGCAGTATTCAAAAGTCCCCTTCAAAAAGTCTGTATCTTGAGAAGGAATTTCCAGATGATGACTGATCTGATTTTAAAGCACAACACTACTGGGATCAGCATCTTTGTGACTCACACATCGACCCCTACTGTCCAGCACTGAATCTAGCACTGACCACTGCAGTCTAGTACTGACCACTGCAGTCTAGTACTGACCACTGCAGTCTAGTGCTGACCACTGCAGTCTAGTACTGACCACTGTAGTCTAGTGCTGACCACTACAGTTTAGCACTGACCACTGCAGTCTAGTGCTGACCACTGCAGTCTAGCACTGACCACTGCAGTCTAGTACTGACCACTACAGTCTAGCGCTGACCACTACAGTCTAGCACTGACCACTGCAGTTTAGCACTGACCACTGCAGTCTAGTACTGACCACTGCAGTCTAGTGCTGACCACTGCAGTCTAGCACTGACCACTGCAGTCTAGTACTGACCACTACAGTCTAGCACTGACCACTGCAGTCTAGCACTGACCACTGCAGTCTAGTACTGACCACTACAGTCTAGCACTGACCACTGCAGTCTAGCACTGACCACTGCAGTCTAGTGCTGACCACTGCAGTCTAGCACTGACCACTGCAGTCTAGTACTGACCACTGCAGTCTAGCACTGACCCCCACAGTCCAGTGCTGACCAGCCTCTCATTCCTGTTGCAGAAACGGCGGTGGGAGAAGCGGCGTGTTCTGTGCCTCCAGCATCGTGTGTGAAATGGCCAAGAGACAGAGTGTGGTGGATGTGTTCCACGCGGTTAAGACCCTGAGGAACAGCAAGCCCAACATGGTGGACACTCCGGTACGTAGACCAGAGCACCTCAGAATATAAAACTTCTACTTTCACTTCAGCCTACTCTGTGAAACTCTGTGAAAATTTGGTAAATGTTTATAATTCTGTGCACCAAATCTTACTGTGGCCACCTTTGATGTTCAGTTCAGTTCAATCAAATATTTAGGTCTCTTATAAAGCAGAGAGAGACCACGGAGAGACCCGGGAGAAGCCAGGGAGAGATCAGTGAGGGACCAGAGAGAGACCAGGGAGAGACCAGTGAGGGACCAGAGAGAGACCAGGGAGAGACCAGAGAGGGACCAGAGAGAGACCAGAGAGTGACCAGGGAGAGACCAGGGAGAGACCAGGTAGAGACCTGGGAGAGACCAGAAAGAGACCTGGGAGAGACCAGGGAGAGATGCCAGAGAGAGACCAGGGAGAGACCAGGGAGAGACCAGGGAGAGACCAGGGAGAGACCAGGGAGAGACCAGAGAGAGACTAGAGAGAGATCAGAGAGTAACCAGAGAGTGGCCTAGACTAGAGCTGGTGAAGGGGAAAGACAAGGAAAAACAATGTTGGAACTACTGGACTAAACACCAAAAGACCACCATCCCAACAAAACTTTACCATTCTATAAAAAATTATAGAAGTAACATCGTCACCAGTGTATTATTCGGACAAACGCAGAGCCTAACCCAGTCACACGGTGATTCACTCGTTCGTCTAAGCCCATTCAATGTGTGTTTGCAGGAGCAGTACCGTTTCTCCTACGACCTGGCGCTGGAGTTTATCGAGTCGTCTTCGTAAATCCTGCATTCAGCCGCTGCTCCCTCTGGTCTGTAGCCTGAACGCAGAACCTCACGGACGGCACGCTCACATAACGAGAGCCTAGGATGCCAGATGAAAGAAAAGAGGATATAAAGATATTCGTGTACAGCTGTTCTCAGTGCCAGCCGCTCCTGTGTACCCTGGGGTCCAGTCATGACTTTGAGTTGCAATCCCCAGTTTGGCCTCTAGATGTCTCACTTGCCCCAAGGAGCACGTTACCACAATTTTGACCGAACAAGACGTTGTTGGGCTTTGCTTGATGTTTGCAGCTTGTACGTTTCAGGTACAAACTCATGTGACTTTGTGATTAGAATTGTGTTTTTTATCTGTATCCATCCATTGTATAACTTTTATTTTTGTATTATGTCATTGAAAAATATATTACTTAAAACAGGTCAACAGACACTAAACCCAGATTTTTCCTTATGCAGCTGTACAGTATGCAAGGCAATTTTATTTGTATAGCACAGTTCATTCAAAGGGCCACTCAAAGTGCTAAACAAAACGAGAAAAGAATTTAACATCCTGAATAATCACTGTACATCAAAAAGAGTGAAGAAAAACATTACTGATTTTAACCTGGATTTGAACATGGTCAGAGTTTAAGCCCGTCTAATATTTTCCAGAAGACGTCCCCATGTTTAGGCCTGACTCTGGACAACAGCAGGGTCACAGCAGCAGATCTTCTTTAAAGTGCATTCTCTGAGCCACAGAAGCCAGATATTCAGTACCTGCATTTTGAAATAGATAATTAGATGATACTGTGTTATGTTTGTGTCCTTTTTGACCTGCAGGATAATGTGTTTTTAATAGAAACAGTCTTTTCTCTACTGGTTAGAACACTTTGATTATGAAGAGCATCATGTGATATTTACTATGTCATGTTTATGTTCGGGCTGGGCCCATGCACTTTCAATTCCTCCAATTCAAAAATGGGTTTGTGTTGTGAAACTTGATTCAATGAGGTGGAGTTTGTAGACTTTTTGACTGAACGCCTGGAGTAATGTTTTCCATTTATGTTTTGAGCTGAATTGGAAGTGTCCCAGGCCTCTTCTGTTCTGTGCACGAGTCGTTTGTTCATAAGCCAAAGACTTTGTGTAAATATGTCTATACAGTTAAAGCACATTGTTTGTATTTATTGTTTACTTTCATTGATTTTAAGAACAATCCTTGTGTGGTTTTTGTTTTCTCACACTGGGCCCAAACAGACAGTGTATCAAGAGCCAACACCAGCGAGATTTGGGACCAGAGCTTCGCCATCACAGCTGTAACTAAAGCAGTCGACATATTTCAGTATTTAGGTGGACTTCAGTCTTGTCGTCTTGTTTCCCTTTTTGAATCAATGTGACGTTACTGTGGTTTTGGTTCACCCTCGATGTCTGTGGTCAGTCGTTTTCTCAGACAGTTGTAATCAGTGCATTTCTCTGCACGTGTCTTGGGTAAAAGCAGCTGCCCCTTGAGGTTGAAGAAACGCTTTTACTCCTGATTCCCTGTTCAGCCTCTCCCCAAACTCTAGGTTGGTGGGGGGCACTGCAGGACTCTGAGCCAACAGTTCATTGTGCCTATTCATTTGTTACTGCAAGAGTTTAACTGCATTTATTACAGAGCTGCTGCCTGCGCGTGTCCATGTCCTTCACCATTTGAGTAGAGTTTATGAGGTACTTTCCCCATGACAGAACTTCTGTTGTGAATTGTTTTAAGATGAAAAAAATATTGTAAATATGATGCATTAACAGAAATGGGCCTGCGGCCGACAAAGGGATTTTCATGTAAATAGAGAGAGATCATAAAGACTTGGGTAGATGGGGCTGGCGGTCGGCAGATCCTCAGTCCTACTGCACATACACAAAGATCAAAGATTGTACTCCAGAAACATATAAATAAAAGTATTAATTTTGCAGACCTATTAGTTTGGCAGTCATCTGAACTCATATAAAACATATTACACACACATGATCTGAGTGTTTGTTTGAGAGCCCATCGGAGTCATCACTTATAAACCTCATGATATTATTACCTGAAATGTTTGGCTTCTTTGCTGTAATAAAGATCACTTCTACTTCTCACTTGTGTCTTTCCTTCTTATGGTACCAGTAATTATATAGTATACCATGTACTTACCAGCAAGTACCTGGTACTTGCTGGTAAGTACCTGGTACTTGCTGTTAAGTACCTGGTACTTGCTGGTAAGTACCTGGTACTTGCTGGTAAGTACCTGGTACTTGCTGGTAAGTACCTGGTACTTGCTGGTAAGTACCTGGTACTTGCTGGTAAGTACCTGGTACTTGCTGGTAAGTACATGGTATACTATATAATTACTGGTATCACTAGTACTTATGGGTAAGTCCTTTGTCTTATTATGGGCCAGTTCCTATGGTAAGTACCTGGTACTTACTATATAATTACTGGTGTTATCACTGGTACTTATGTTAAAGTCCTTTGTCTTATTATGGGCCAGTCCCTATGGTAAGTACCTGGTACTTACTGTATAATTACTGGTGTTATCACTGGTACTTATGTTAAAGTCCTTTGTCTTATTATGGGCCAGTCCCTATGGTAAGTACCTGGTACTTGCTGGTAAGTACATGGTACTTGCTGGTAAGTACATGGTATACTATATAATTACTGGTATCACTAGTACTTATGGGTAAGTCCTTTGTCTTATTATGGGCCAGTTCCTATGGTAAGTACCTGGTACTTACTATATAATTACTGGTGTTATCACTGGTACTTATGTTAAAGTCCTTTGTCTTATTATGGGCCAGTCCCTATGGTAAGTACCTGGTACTTACTGTATAATTACTGGTGTTATCACTGGTACTTATGTTAAAGTCCTTTGTCTTATTATGGGCCAGTCCCTATGGTAAGTACCTGGTACTTGCTGTTAAGTACCTGGTACTTGCTGTTAAGTACCTGGTACTTGCTGGTAAGTACCTGGTACTTGCTGGTAAGTACCTGGTACTTGGCTGGTAAGTACCTGGTAATGTGTAATTCTTGTTACTTGGGTTGGGTACCTAGTTCTTGCAGTGTTTCCCTTGTCCTTGAAACTTGTTTTGAAATATGCATTAAATGTATTTATACTGTCCTTTCTGTGCTACTTATTCCATATTAATAAAGACGTTTGTTTTACATAATGTTGTTTTATGTTTTATAGTCAAACAATCCTACAAATGACCTCTGTATGTATGTATGTAGAAGTACCACATTTACTACATAGGAATAATACTGTAGTGTCCTTGAATTACTAAGTTACAGCTGTATCTAGAATTATCACAATAAGTACCTAGAAGTACCACTGTAAGTACCACAATAAGTACCTCTAAGTACCACTGTAAGTACCTAGAAGTACCACTGTAAGTACCACAATAAGTACCTAGAAGTACCACTAGAAGTACCACTGTAAGTACCTAGAAGTACCTAGAAGTACCACTTCTAGAGCTGGTGAAGGGGAAAGACAAGGAAAAACAATGTTGGAACTACTGGACTAAACACCAAAAGACCACCATCCCAACAAAACTTTACCATTCTATAAAAAATTATAGAAGTAACATCGTCACCAGTGTATTATTCGGACAAACGCAGAGCCTAACCCAGTCACACGGTGATTCACTCGTTCGTCTAAGCCCATTCAATGTGTGTTTGCAGGAGCAGTACCGTTTCTCCTACGACCTGGCGCTGGAGTTTATCGAGTCGTCTTCGTAAATCCTGCATTCAGCCGCTGCTCCCTCTGGTCTGTAGCCTGAACGCAGAACCTCACGGACGGCACGCTCACATAACGAGAGCCTAGGATGCCAGATGAAAGAAAAGAGGATATAAAGATATTCGTGTACAGCTGTTCTCAGTGCCAGCCGCTCCTGTGTACCCTGGGGTCCAGTCATGACTTTGAGTTGCAATCCCCAGTTTGGCCTCTAGATGTCTCACTTGCCCCAAGGAGCACGTTACCACAATTTTGACCGAACAAGACGTTGTTGGGCTTTGCTTGATGTTTGCAGCTTGTACGTTTCAGGTACAAACTCATGTGACTTTGTGATTAGAATTGTGTTTTTTATCTGTATCCATCCATTGTATAACTTTTATTTTTGTATTATGTCATTGAAAAATATATTACTTAAAACAGGTCAACAGACACTAAACCCAGATTTTTCCTTATGCAGCTGTACAGTATGCAAGGCAATTTTATTTGTATAGCACAGTTCATTCAAAGGGCCACTCAAAGTGCTAAACAAAACGAGAAAAGAATTTAACATCCTGAATAATCACTGTACATCAAAAAGAGTGAAGAAAAACATTACTGATTTTAACCTGGATTTGAACATGGTCAGAGTTTAAGCCCGTCTAATATTTTCCAGAAGACGTCCCCATGTTTAGGCCTGACTCTGGACAACAGCAGGGTCACAGCAGCAGATCTTCTTTAAAGTGCATTCTCTGAGCCACAGAAGCCAGATATTCAGTACCTGCATTTTGAAATAGATAATTAGATGATACTGTGTTATGTTTGTGTCCTTTTTGACCTGCAGGATAATGTGTTTTTAATAGAAACAGTCTTTTCTCTACTGGTTAGAACACTTTGATTATGAAGAGCATCATGTGATATTTACTATGTCATGTTTATGTTCGGGCTGGGCCCATGCACTTTCAATTCCTCCAATTCAAAAATGGGTTTGTGTTGTGAAACTTGATTCAATGAGGTGGAGTTTGTAGACTTTTTGACTGAATGCCTGGAGTAATGTTTTCCATTTATGTTTTGAGCTGAATTGGAAGTGTCCCAGGCCTCTTCTGTTCTGTGCACGAGTCGTTTGTTCATAAGCCAAAGACTTTGTGTAAATATGTCTATACAGTTAAAGCACATTGTTTGTATTTATTGTTTACTTTCATTGATTTTAAGAACAATCCTTGTGTGGTTTTTGTTTTCTCACACTGGGCCCAAACAGACAGTGTATCAAGAGCCAACACCAGCGAGATTTGGGACCAGAGCTTCGCCATCACAGCTGTAACTAAAGCAGTCGACATATTTCAGTATTTAGGTGGACTTCAGTCTTGTCGTCTTGTTTCCCTTTTTGAATCAATGTGACGTTACTGTGGTTTTGGTTCACCCTCGATGTCTGTGGTCAGTCGTTTTCTCAGACAGTTGTAATCAGTGCATTTCTCTGCACGTGTCTTGGGTAAAAGCAGCTGCCCCTTGAGGTTGAAGAAACGCTTTTACTCCTGATTCCCTGTTCAGCCTCTCCCCAAACTCTAGGTTGGTGGGGGGCACTGCAGGACTCTGAGCCAACAGTTCATTGTGCCTATTCATTTGTTACTGCAAGAGTTTAACTGCATTTATTACAGAGCTGCTGCCTGCGCGTGTCCATGTCCTTCACCATTTGAGTAGAGTTTATGAGGTACTTTCCCCATGACAGAACTTCTGTTGTGTGAATTGTTTTAAGATGAAAAAAATATTGTAAATATGATGCATTAACAGAAATGGGCCTGCGGCCGACAAAGGGATTTTCATGTAAATAGAGAGAGATCATAAAGACTTGGGTAGATGGGGCTGGCGGTCGGCAGATCCTCAGTCTCCTACTGCACATACACAAAGATCAAAGATTGTACTCCAGAAACATATAAATAAAAGTATTAATTTTGCAGACCTATTAGTTTGGCAGTCATCTGAACTCATATAAAACATATTACACACACATGATCTGAGTGTTTGTTTGAGAGCCCATCGGAGTCATCACTTATAAACCTCATGATATTATTACCTGAAATGTTTGGCTTCTTTGCTGTAATAAAGATCACTTCTACTTCTCACTTGTGTCTTTCCTTCTTATGATCTGAACAGAAAATAAGATTTACATTTGTAATACATGGTGCCATGTAATGATAAGGATATTGTAGACGAATCAAAAGGGAGTGGTAGTAGTAGTAGGGAGCTTGCTTCTTTCTCAGCATCAACACAAACTGATGTGTCATTTGTCCATAAGGGGCAGATGACCAATGTCCATTGGTCATCTGCCCCTTATGGACCAGTTTTCTATCATTGCATTATTGTGTTTGAACAGTCTGATTCTCTGATCTGTGTTGGGAAATGTTATGATTGTGTAAAGTCTTAATATTTACAGTCTATGAGCCACACACACGTATTTGGCGCAACGCATCATGGGAGCTCTTCCACTGCGCAGAACCAAGAGGACCAGACGATGCCCAATATAGGCGAGTTCCGCTAGTCCCCCGGTCCCTGTGAAGTCCCATGCTCTACTGAGCACAAGCCTTTCATTAGTATATAAACATAACTTTACACCCCATAATGCACCAATATAGAACAATCGGTAACACTTTACATTACGGGCCGGTAAGTCCATGGTACTTACAGTGGTACTTCTAGGTACTTACAGTGGTACTTCTAGGTACTTACAGTGGTACTTACGGTGGTACTTACGGTGGTACTTACGGTGGTACTTACGGTGGTACTTACGGTGGTACTTACGGTGGTACTTACAGTGGTACTTACAGTGGTACTTACAGTGGTACTTCTAGGTACTTACGGTGGTACTTACGGTGGTACTTACGGTGGTACTTACGGTGGTACTTACGGTGGTACTTACGGTGGTACTTACGGTGGTACTTACAGTGGTACTTACGGTTGTACTTACGGTGGTACTTACGGTGGTACTTACGGTGGTACTTACGGTGGTACTTACAGTGGTACTTACGGTGGTACTTACGGTGGTACTTACGGTGGTACTTACGGTGGTACTTACGGTGGTACTTACAGGGGTACTTACGGTGGTACTTACGGTGGTACTTACGGTGGTACTTACAGTGGTACTTACAGTGGTACTTACAGTGGTACTTACAGTGGTACTTCTAGGTACTTACAGTGGTACTTCTAGTGGTACTTCTAGGTACTTATTGTGGTACTTACAGTGGTACTTCTAGGTACTTACAGTGGTACTTAGAGGTACTTATTGTGGTACTTACAGTGGTACTTCTAGGTACTTATTGTGATAATTCTAGATACAGCTGTAACTTAGTAATTCAAGGATACTACAGCATTATTCCTATGTAGTAAATGTGGTACTTCTACATACATACATACAGAGGTCATTTGTAGGATTGTTTGACTATAAAACATAAAACAACATTATGTAAAACAAACGTCTTTATTAATATGGAATAAGTAGCACAGAAAGGACAGTATAAATACATTTAATGCATATTTCAAAACAAGTTTCAAGGACAAGGGAAACACTGCAAGAACTAGGTACCCAACCCAAGTAACAAGAATTACACATTACCAGGTACTTACCAGCCAAGTACCAGGTACTTACCAGCAAGTACCAGGTACTTACCAGCAAGTACCAGGTACTTAACAGCAAGTACCAGGTACTTAACAGCAAGTACCAGGTACTTACCATAGGGACTGGCCCATAATAAGACAAAGGACTTTAACATAAGTACCAGTGATAACACCAGTAATTATACAGTAAGTACCAGGTACTTACCATAGGGACTGGCCCATAATAAGACAAAGGACTTTAAATAAGTACCAGTGATAACACCAGTAATTATATAGTAAGTACCAGGTACTTACCATAGGAACTGGCCCATAATAAGAAAAAGGACTTACCCATAAGTACTAGTGATACCAGTAATTATATAGTATACCATGTACTTACCAGCAAGTACCATGTACTTACCAGCAAGTACCAGGTACTTACCATAGGGACTGGCCCATAATAAGACAAAGGACTTTAACATAAGTACCAGTGATAACACCAGTAATTATACAGTGAGTACCAGGTACTTACCATAGGAACTGGCCCATAATAAGACAAAGGACTTACCCATAAGTACTAGTGATACCAGTAATTATATAGTATACCATGTACTTACCAGCAAGTACCAGGTACTTACCATAGGGACTGGCCCATAATAAGACAAAGGACTTTAACATAAGTACCAGTGATAACACCAGTAATTATACAGTGAGTACCAGGTACTTACCATAGGAACTGGCCCATAATAAGACAAAGGACTTACCCATAAGTACTAGTGATACCAGTAATTATATAGTATACCATGTACTTACCAGCAAGTACCATGTACTTACCAGCAAGTACCAGGTACTTACCATAGGGACTGGCCCATAATAAGACAAAGGACTTTAACATAAGTACCAGTGATAACACCAGTAATTATAAAGTAAGTACCAGGTACTTACCATAGGGACTGGCCCATAATAAGACAAAGGACTTACCCATAAGTACTAGTGATACCAGTAATTATATAGTATACCATGTACTTACCAGCAAGTACCATGTACTTACCAGCAAGTACCAGGTACTTACCAGCCAAGTACCAGGTACTTACCAGCAAGTACCAGGTACTTACCAGCAAGTACCAGGTACTTACCAGCCAAGTACCAGGTACTTACCAGCAAGTACCAGGTACTTAACAGCAAGTACCAGGTACTTACCAGCAAGTACCAGGTACTTACCAGCAAGTACCAGGTACTTACCAGCAAGTACCAGGTACTTAACAGCAAGTACCAGGTACTTACCAGCAAGTACCAGGTACTTACCATAGGGACTGGCCCATAATAAGACAAAGGACTTTAACATAAGTACCAGTGATAACACCAGTAATTATATAGTAAGTACCAGGTACTTACCATAGGAACTGGCCCATAATAAGACAAAGGACTTACCCATAAGTAC